GCGGTGGCAAGAAACGGTCTACCTAGAATCAAAGGCACATCCACATCATCATTTATATCCAGAATCACAAAATCAACAGGATATGTGAATGCACCCACATTAACAAGCAAATCTTCTATGATACCCCTAGGATGCACCACGGAACGATCAGCTAGCTGAATGCTCATCCTAGTAGGGCTAAGTTCACCTAGGTCTAGCTTTTTGAACAATTTATATGGCATGACATTAATGCTAGCTCCTAGGTCCGCCAAGGACTTTCCTACATGCATGCTGCCAATAGTAAGAGGGATAGTAAAACTCCCTGGATCCTTGCGCTTTTCGGGCAGCTTGTTCTGCAGGATGGCAGAACATTCCTCGCTCAGCAGCACTGTCGAGAGATCTCCTAGTTTCTTCTTGTTGGTGCAGAGATCTTTCATGAACTTCGCGTACTTGGGCATCTTCGACAGTGCCTCCACAAATGGTATGCTGATGTTGAGCTGCTTCAACACTGCCATGAACTTGGCAAACTCAGTCTCCAGCTTATCTTTATGGAGGCGAGTGGGGAAGGGAAGCTGGGGTACATGCTCCTTCACCACTGGTTGTGGCTTGGAAGCAGGGGCTTCCTTCTCCACCCGCACTTCTGCATCACCGGCTGGAAGTGCTGAAGCAGGTAGTGGTTCCTCCTGCCTGGTCGGGGCAGGATCAGCTGATGTAGGCCTGCCGCTCCTGGTGAAAATGGCATGGGCAGTCTCGTGAGGGCCGCGAGGATTGGGGACAGTGGTGGCAGGCAGAGTCCCCGGTGCCCTGGTAGTATTCTGGCGAGCTAAGTCCCCTATTTGGTGCTGGAGATCCTGCAGAATGGCACCCTGGTTCCTCTGGCCTGCCTCCAGCGAAGCTATGGCCTGATCCATCCTCGCGATATTTGCCTGGCTGGTGGTCATGAATGCTGCCAAAATGTTCTCAAGCTTGGTCATCTGATTATCGGGAGCTGGTGCTGCTGCTGGCTCGGCATACTGACGCTGAGGCTGCTGGAATGGCTGCCCTTGCCTAGGCTGGTAAGGCTGCTGCTGTGGTGGTGGCCCCTGCCTAGCCTGGAAGGGCTGCCTCTGCTGGAAACCACCTGCTGGTGCTGGGAAACCAGGTGGCTTGGCGGTGTTATTGCTCCAGGCAAAGTTGGGATGCTGGCGCCATCCCTCATTGTAGGTGTTGCTGTATGGGTCCAGGCGCCGAGCATTTGCTATGAAGTCCACCTGCTCTTGGGGAGTAGAAGACTCCCTCATAGACTGACAATCCTCCACGAGGTGATTCGGGCTCTCACACCACTGACACTGAGCAACTGGAGGTGTAGCCAAACTTCTGCCCGGAATAAGACTGTTGGGCTGCTTCAATGCCTGCACTAGCTCAGCTACCTGCTGCTCGAGCCCGGATCTGGCCTCCATGGCGTGCACACCACGGTCCCGGGAGTGCCTGCCTCTGCTGCTCTGCCCCCAGGAATGATCGCGGGCAGCCAAAGTACTGATCATCTGGTTCAGCTCGGGTGGAGTCTTAGTAAGGATATCCCCTCCTGGGCATAGAGACTCGATCACCCTCTGGCTGTCTGGGGTGATGGCACTGTAGAAGTTCCCCACTGTGAAAGCATCGCTGAAGCCATGATGGGGACACTGCCAGAAGTATCCCATGTACCGCTCCCATGCATCACGAAGGGACTCATCTGGCTCTTGGCGGAAGTGAGTGATCTCCCGCTGAATCTCAGTAGTCTTCGATGCCGGATAATATCTGTGCACGAACTTATCCGCCAGATCGTCCCAAGAAGTGATGGACAGTGGGGGCTGGGTCTCCAACCACCTCTTAGCATTCCCCGTCGGAGAATGGGGGAAGAGGTGAAGGCGGATTGCCTCATCCGGAACACCATTCAGCTTGAACCCGTTCGTCAGCTGCAGAAAACGGGAAAGGTGTGCCCGGGCTTCCTCATCCTTCAAGCCATGGAACTGGATAGAGGATGTGATGAGCTGAATCCAGCCTGGCTTGATCTCGAAGTTATTTGCTGGGACGGGTGGATAGAGGATGACCGGGTGGATGTCAGCAATCCGTGGAGTGTAGTAGTACTCCAAGGTGGGACCCGGCGGTGGTGGTGGATGCTGATTCACCGGGGGAACCTGTCGAGCATTCCCCGGTTGTGGAATGTCTTCGCCCTCCATCTCGTACTCTTCCTCAGAATCGCTGGTTAAGTGGCCGTCTATGCGCTCTCCCGTAACCAGTCTAGCTCGCTGCTGTCTCCTAAGTTGGCGGCAAGTGCGTTCAAGCTCTGGATCCAACGGCAGTAACCCTCCTGACTGGCTACGGGTCATGCACTACCTGCACACACTCAAGCAAGCAAACCCGTGAAGGCACAAGTGGGACAAAGCAAACAAAGCGAACAGAAAAGCTAGAGTAACAGAAATCACTTTTCTTCAACAACCTAGCCGTCCCCGGCAACGGCGCCAAAAACTTGACTCGCTGTTACTGTCACTCTAGAAATTGGCCAAGTGTAACCACTTCCTAAAGCGTAGTATAGCGGGTTTGGGTTTTAATGTCAACCCGGGTCCTAGATGTGATGACTACTCAGTGAATTCGTATTATCTAGCAATGAAACTTTAGTGAAGTTATAAACTAACAAGCAAGCAAAGTAACTAAAACGGTTGTATTCAGGTTAAGAGAGGTCACCCGGATATGGTTCCCCCTAGTCTGCAGTTAAGCCGGATTGTAATTGCCAAGTTCGATTTCTATGAAAGTTATACTGCGGAAGGTTCTTAATCAGTCTGAAGTCTCGACTAAAGGTCTTCAGACCCTCTCAATCTGAGTCTCTAGCTGGCGACTAACCTACACCGGAGTAAACAGATTGAGGCCCTATGAACAAAACCTCCACTACCGAATGGAATTCGGTACAGAATAGTGATTGGCTCATCGACTAAAGTCACCAATTCACTACCTTCAATCAAGGATACTCTATTAACCTAGGCAGATATTATCATTCTAGGTTAAAGCAGAAACAACAGGAATTTGATCAGGATTCAAGTCATTCAATCATTCAAACCTCAATCGAATATAATCAAATCATAGAATCAATACTTGGGTTCATACAATCAAACCTAACATACAGAACTAGGGTTTCCCACACCCAGATGAATGGGAGAACTACTCCATGGAGAGAGAAGCAAAAGCAGAATCAGTCGCGGAAATCATACTGTGAAGATGGATTTCTGCTCCTGGACGTTGAATCGGCACTTCTCCAAGCTCAAACCAAGCTCCAATGGTGTTGAAGATCGATCTAGGGCACTTGGAGGCTCTTGTTCGTCGCTTTCTCTCTCTAGGAATCACTCTGTCTCTCTAAAACTCGAACCCCCCCTCAATTTGGCTGAAATCTGCTTATAAACCGGGTTTCCCGGACTTGCACGGCCAGGGTGCACGTCGGGGAAACCCACAATAATTGTGAAGAAAAAAGGTGATAATTTTCATTGACCTAACGAAAAAAATGTAGTTTAATGGGGTCTAAAGTAAATCAAATGCAATGTTTGTCTCAAAATAAAAGCTATTATCTTGATAAAAAAGAATCCATGTGTTCATCTTTCAAATTAGGTATGGAGTCCCCACAACCTTTCTCCTAGCTCCGTCATTGATAAGGTCAAAACAGGTTTGTTGAACCACTAATATGTTAATCTACCAAGTTTAGAATGACTGATGAAAGAAAGAGAAAAGTTAGATAGCGATGGAATGAAAATGAGTTTTTGTGGTGTAAATACAAAGCAATTTTAATTAGGGATGGCAATGGGTAGGATCGGGTGCGGGTTTACCTTATACCAACTCCTAACCCGTCGGGTAGAGCCTTCTAAAATACCCGACTAAATACCATAGACCAGGAAACCGGATCGTACCGGCCGGTTCAACCGGTTTAACCGGAAATTGGACCAAAAGCGGCACGGTGGGCTGATTGTGCTGATTTTACCGTGCCGGCCGGGTTTTTCGGTTTGACCGGTTGAACCGGCCGGTACGATCCGGTTTCCTGGTCTATGATTCAGCTTCATTCTCCGTATTCTCGTTCAATATGTGGAAAATAATTAAAAAAGAATATTATTTTGCTATTTTTCTATGTTGAAAATGGGTCACCGTGGTTGTATAATGCTTTATTTGGTTCTTTTTTTGATGGATTATATTTTTTATACTATCGCATTTCATTTCTCTATCAATAGTGAAAAACGGTATTTACCGGTACAAAATGGTTGAACCACGGTCGTACCACAAAATACCATACCAGAAAGGAATCCGGTATGATGTCCGGTACGGTTTCCTTTACCGTGCTAAATACCCATTGGGTATGAAAATTATATAACCATACCCCTGCCCACCGGGTAACCACGGGTATTCGGGTAACCATGGGTACGAATCCTAAACTATGTACTTATACACATATATGCACATACATATTGTTGTCCATTAAAAATCCACACAAATAAAAATAGCAAACACATAATAATTTTTCTTGCTTCTACAATCCACACAAACATAATAATCGTCTACATCTTCATCATCAATAATGGTAGCTAAACTCAATTTCTCAAGCTAAACTAAATTTCTCAAGGGAAATTGACCCTTTGGTTAGCGGGGCGGGTATAACGGGACGGGTATTATCGACTACCATACTCGTACCCTACCCTTTATTTTGAAACCGGGTATTACCCGTACCCGCCCCTTAACCCGTCAAAGCGAGTAATTATCCTCGTTGATCGGTTACGATCGGGTAGGATACCCATGATTACGGGTTGGATTGACATCCCCGATTTTAACCTTCACCAAAGTAAAATAAAGTGAACTCAAAAGACTTTTTGCCATGAGAAATTTGAAGTTTTGAGTAATTCCCGAGATAATTATGGCCCGGCCCAACAAATATGGGCCAGCTGGACGGCCCAGCTCCCTCTTTACTACAGCCAGCGCGGGCCTACCAACAATAATAATAAAAAAAAATATACGCAAGAGCTTTTAGAAGGAAAAAAAGGGGGGCGGGGGGACTTCGGTTCTCTTCCTATGCAGTTAGACCAGCGGGGGAACTTGGAGGAAGGAGGTCAGCAGCGACATGGACTGAGAATCAACCAGTTAGGGGTGAAATTCCTCTGGCGTCCGAACCTCGAAGTAGTTTTGCATTGAGCTCCTTGGGTGACAACATCTTCCTCCCGATGGCTACTCCCGTAAGGTACTTCTTGTTGTGTATACAGAAGATTGATCATCAGCTTTTGAAGTTATGTTCAGGGTCTATTTTGAAAACCTAACCCGCCATTCAACTGCCTTGTTCGTCTGGGATGTCTCTAGGGTTAGTTTGTTATCTACTGTGTTTGCGCACTTGAATTTGGTGGCTTAACTATGATTCCGCGCGGCAACTGTTAGTATCTTGGCATTGTTCTGCTCCAGCCAGAAATTGAAGTAGCGAGCGTGGTTGGCAGGCATGGTCAATGCTCACTGGTTCTTTCAGTGTGTAGTTGTGTTTCTGTGCAATTTGCTTCAAACGATGTGCATTTGTCTTCCGAGGGTTTGAAATGTTGCTCAAAGAAAGCAATTGGTAAGGGGTGTAGGTTTAACAGTGAGCATGGTTTTGTTTCATCAAGTTGGGTGCTGTTCCATTCATCTATAGGAGAGCCTCTGTCCCAATGCTGGCTGTTGGATTCAATATATGACGTCAAGGCCGGTAACTTGATTCTTCAAATAACCTGGCATCAATGTCGAAATCTGTATGAGTTGAGTTCTGTGTGTAGAGTAACTCTTAAGCTGATGGAATGGTAGAGCCATATAATCGCACTAAATGTGCCTACAAGGGAAATGTGACCTTATATAAAACTATGGATTCTTTTCAATCATCATTCTAATAACTTTTGTTGATTCTGCTTACTGCTTTGTCCATTATCTTCAGAAAGAAAAATCACCACTTTCCTATCTGGCTAATACTTCTTTCCAACCTTGTTACTCTATGAGTCATACTTGTGCTCCTCACTTTTAGCTGTGTGGATTTGTGCTGTTTATGCATTCTTCGTGCCATGTGTGATTTCAGAGAAAACGACTGTCACCTTATATGAGAAGGTCATGCTTGAAGCATTAACTTATCTTCTTAGAAAGAGTGACTTTTCTGTTTGGTAGAAGCAATCTCGTGCAAAATGTGAATTTCGGGGTTTTGAGGTTCAGTGACACACTACTGTAGCTGATCTTTCGCACAGGCATCTTTAATTCTATATTGCCCTGTTCAATTCAAATATTGGTGTAGGTTTCAATTGCTATATTCTTTGTTTCTTTGATCAGGAAGCCTATATGTTCTTAATATGCCCACCTATCTGCTGGGCACTTCTCTCCTATGAGATTATGAAAAATTACGAGTTGTGGTTAACAATTTCTGTTTAAAGGTCTAGCACGAGCTTGCATCTCATTTGTCTTCTAATGTCTGTGATTTTCATATTTTTCCTTTTGTTAATATCTGTATGAGCATTTGGTTCAGCTAATGATTATGAGGCTTCCGCATTTGTTATGTCTTTCCTGTGCAAATAGTTCGAAGGGGGCGGGTTAGGAGGTTTGTTGCTGTTTTGAGAATGTAACTCCAAACTTTTTCTCAGTAAAAATGGCAGTCACTGCCCAGTTGATTCTGCTGAATTGCCTGATCGATGACATATGCAAATTTGTCATTTAGTTCCTCCCTATGTTCTTATGTGAAGTCGTCCAAGAATATGCAGATTTGGACTTCTTCCGTTTTCTCCTGTAGCTCTTCGTTTCTCATGTTGGCATGCTGTTTATGCATACTTGATCAATCCTGTACTTTCTTGATTTCAAGACATTACATCTGATAAGCTGATGTATTTCAGGTTTTCTGGCAAGCGTACGCACAATCAGCCCGAGCCAATTGATCCTGGGCATGTCTACAATGTGCCTCCTCTGAATGCTATACCCCTGAATTATTTTAACCCGTTTGTAGCAAATGATGATGCTAATGCTGCTTGTTCTGATAACAACGTTGATGCTGGTGTTGATGACCCCCCGGTCGAACCTGCAAACACAGAAGACCCATCCATGGTCTTCTTTCCCAATGGAACAACTGAGGCGGAATTTGCAAACATCTTGAACAGAAACAGAGGCGCTATTGCCCTCTCCGGGGCTGCATCTATGCAGAGGATCGGTTCAGGTATTGGACAAATGAACATTGGGGAGAGTGACGGGTTCTACATATTCCGTGTCTCTCTGCCTGGAGTGTCCGGTAGTGATGGTAAGTGCCACGCTCTTCTGTTTCGTTTGTACCTTGTCTCATTGCTAGACTTTGCAGTGTGATGGTTGGAAATTTGAACGCCTGTAGTACTTGTCTCGTATTGCTTCCTGATGAGTTGAATCTCCGTGAACAGATAGCTTCAGTTGTGTTGTAGATCCAACCGGGATGGTGGAGATGCAAGGGGTGAGCACCACTGGGGAGCAGGTTGTTGAGAAACCGCCTCAAGTCTTCTTCATGGAGACCCGAAACCTCTGCCCACCAGGACCCTTCAGCATCAAGTTCAGGCTTCCCGGTCCAGTTCTTCCCTACCAACTCAGAAGCTCTTTTGTCGATGGTATGTTTGAGGGGATTGTGAGGAGAAACTCCTGAAAACAAAATTTGGCTCCCCGTAGGAATCGGATGAGCTTTTTCTTCTTCTTTTGGTGGAACAGTGGACTCAGAACTAGCTGACTGGTTCTCTAGTAGGCTGTAACATAGAGTTTGCTAGGTTCATCTTCACCTTTGCTACAACAATTCCTTCAATCTCCAGGGTTGATTCTTGTTAACTTTTCCCAGTTTATACCTGGAGACGGAGTAATCGAAGATTAGATCCCCATACAAGACCGTCTCTTCTCTGCCTGCACGCAACTTTCCAACCTCGATCCATACCCTTGTCCCATACGCCATCAAAGAAGCAGACACAAAAAACAGTGTCCATAAATAGCCAGAGCCCATCAATTTGATCTCATATCTTCCAGTACGTCAAAGGGAAATCATGGCAGCAGTTCTGCTTCTGGTCATAGTTGGGTTAGTTGCTGTTATGATTATGTGTGGCAGCTGTAACGCTGAGGAACATCTGTGCAACACGATAGTCGACGCCGCCGTCACCCAGTGCGTCAAGCAGGTTGCCGGCGACTTGAACGGTGAGAAAAACAACGACCGTGTCAGCAGGTCCAAAGAGCGGAAGACGGCAGAGTGCACCGTGAATTCCACCACTTCCGTCAGCGGCGGGGCGATTTGTGAGTCGAACTCCCTGCCGAGGTGCAGACAGTGCTTGACGGGTGCGACTGACAAGGTGATCAATCTTTGCCCGGACCGGATCGGCGGTCAGATTAACTTCACTCTCTGCTCCTTTAGGTTCGAGCTCCATCCATGGTTTTAAAGATCAAACTGATGAATCAAATTATGTGCTTAATTTGATTCGAGCTGAATGTCGGTGTTGCTGTTCGTCCCGCTTTGGATTATAATTTAAGTGTTGCGAACATCGTAGAGTGTAAACTAGTTATTAGTCTCGAACATTGTGAAGTTGTCAGCTTACTTGTGAATTGAAATTGTAATGAAAAGGCACTGTTCTTCGAGATTATCTTCAAATGGTATTAGCGGTAGGTCTATGATTATCTAAAGTCGTTTCTCTATCTTGTTTAGTGTTTTGTATAATCTGAGGGGGGTATAAAAATTTCCAGCGTTTTTATGAATTTTGTGTGTTTCAGTTTCTCTCTATGGTTAATTGGTTATATATGCTTGAAATGAAAATGTCTTGCCTGCCCCTGATCCTATAAACTCCGAAACAAGAGTCTCCTCCTGAAATCAACTATGTGGGCCGGTTTGCCCATTTCCAGTTTTATCACGACCATAGCCCGGCCCAAACAATATGGGGCACATGCTGGACGGTTCAGGCCCACGCCCATCTATATATAGACGAGCTTCTTAATGAAGAGGAAGAGGGAAAGGGGAAAGAAAAGAGTTGCTCGTTTCGCTTCTTCGGCAAGAGCAGGAGGAACTGGGAGCAGCGAGATTAACTCGGAGATGAAGTTCCTCCGCCTCCGAACTGCAATGTAGTATTGGGTTGAGGTCTTTTGGAGATACTCCGAAGGCTACTCCGGGAAGGTACTTCTTGTTATCTTCAGAAGATTGATCCTTTGGGATTCAATTCGTGTGAGCTTTTGAAATTATGTTCAGGTTCTATCTTGCAAACCTAAACCGACCCAAGCAAATTTGCAGAGGAATGAACTTTCTTGTTTCCTCTGTGATTTTGCTAGGGTCATTTTTTATTTATTGTGATGGACTTGAATTCGGTGGCTCAACTTTGATTCTCTCGGAAACTGTATGTCCGTGTTAGCTTGGTTCTTGTCGAGCCGGAAAATGAAGTAGAGAGCGTAGTTGGGCGAACGTGGTTGAAGCTCGCTGGCCCTTTCCGTGTGTAATTGTGTGCAATTTGCTTCAAACAAATTGCGGTTGTCTTTGACGGTCCGTTATGTTGTTGAGGTAAAAGAAATTGGTCTCCCGTTGCTATCTCTCTCTGTTCTTTTGTTGTTTAAGATCAGAGTTGTTGATTGTGTCCCGAATTAGGGTAACAGTGAGCATGACTCCTGTTCTTTCGAACCTGATTATCATCACATTGTTTCATCAAACTGGGTGCTCTTCCATTCATCGGTAGGAGAACCGCTGTTTGAATGTAGGCCGGTCGGTCTAGATAGATTTGATGTATGAGTCAAGGCGGTAGCTTGATTCTTCAAATAACCTGCATCAACGTCGATCTGGATGATTTATGTTTAGAGAAACTCGTAGGCTGAAGTACTTTAACAGAGCTATATAATCGTGCTAAAAGTGTCTAGTACCATGGAAATGCGACCTAATATTAGACTAAGGCTTCTTTTCAATCATCCTTCTAATAAGTTTTGTTGATTCTGCTTAGTGCTGACAGTCCCTTTGTCATTTATCTTAACATAATGGAAGAAAAAGAAAATCATCATTTTCCTTATCTAGCTAATACTGCTTTCACTACTCTAGGAATTATGCTTAGGCTCCTCATCTTTAGCTGTGTGCATGTGTGCTGTTTATGCAGTATTTATGCCATCTGTGATTTCAGCGAGAACTACTGTGGTCTTACATGAGAAGGCCATGATTACTGGTTCAATCTGAAGTTAACTACCTTATTCACGAAAACAGAACTGCAACTCAGATGTTTGTTTGGTGCACATCTGTATATGATCACAGTTCATTATAATCTTGAGAATTATTATTGAGTTTGTTTTATCTTTTGTTGGTCAGTATTGAATTTATGCTTCAAGCTTCAAAATGGTTTTTTTTTCTTCCTGGGGAGAAATGGGCAGGCTAGGAGGTTAGTCACTCACTCCTCAGTTGATTCTTCTGAGTTGCCTGATCGATGACCTCTGCGAATTCGTCATGTAGTTCCTTCCTTTGTTCTTATGCGATGTCGTCCAAGAATATGCAGATTCAGACTTGTCCGTTTTTTCATGTAGATCTTATTTTTCATGTTGAATTATGCTGTTTATGCATACTTGACCAATCCTGTACTTTTCAAGGCATTACATATGATAAGTTGATGTAATCCAGGTCTTCTGGCAAGCACGCACACAATCAGCCCGAGCCAATTGACCCTGAGCATGTTTACGATGTGCCTCCTCTGAATGCTGTACCCCTGAATTATTTGACCCGTTTTTATCAAATGATGATGCTGGTGCTGCTAACAATGGCGATGCTGGTGCTGGTGATCCCCCAGTTGAACCAGCAAATGCAGAAGACCCGTCCATGGTTTTGTTTCCTAATGGAACAACTAAGGCCGAGCTTGCCAACATCTTGAACAGAAACAAAGGAGCTATTACCCTTTTTGGTGCTGCAGCTGTGCTGAGGATTGGTTCAGGTATTGGACCAATGAACATTGGGGAGAGTGAAGCGTTCTACATTTTCCGTGTCTCTCTGCCTGGAGTATCTGCAAATGATAGTAAGCGTCATGCTCTTCTGTTTTGGCTGTTACATATATCTCATTGCTAGACTTCGCAGCATGATCTGAAGTTTTTGTACGCCTGTTGTTCGTGTCTCGTATTGCTTCCTGATGAGTTGAATCTCCATGAACAGGGAGCTTCAGTTGTGTTGTAGATCCAACTGGGATGGTGGAGATACAAGGGGTGAGCACTGCTTGGGAACAGGTTGTTGAAAGACCCTCCTAAAATCTTTTTCATGGAGACTCGAAACCTCTGGCCCGCCTGGACCCTTAACACCATGTTCTGGCTTCCTGCTCCAGTTTTCCCTGACCAGCTCAGAAACTCTTTCGTCGATGGTATGTTCGAGGGAACTGTGAGGAAAATGTCCTGATAACTAAGTTTAGCTCCCCATAGGAATTGGATATGTGCTGTTTTCCTTTCGCCGAACAGTGAACTCAGAAACTGCTGGATGGTCCTTTTTATTAGTAGGCTGGAACATACAGTTGGCCAGTCTCATCTTCATTTTTTGCTAGTACATTTCCTTCAATCTCCAGGGTTGATTCTTGTTAACTTTCCCCTGAAATTTGTGGCCGTCCAATTGATTTTTTCAGATTTTAAATACGTTCCTTTACCGGGGTTACAACTTATAATATCTATATCTATAGATTTGCACCACTGCTACATCAGCGTTGAACTTCAATTAACCTATCCACACAGCACCCAAACTTCTCTGATCTCTCTCATGCTTTCCTCGGCCCTTTGGGAAAAAACCACCCTTCTCCTAGTTTAAATGAAACGTTGTGTCTCTTCTTTTATTGTGTTAGTTTTTTTTTTTCATTTCACTTTTCGGGAATAACACGGCAGTTGCTTTGCTGAGTTTGCTCCCTTTTATTTTCCTTCCTATAATTTTTTTTTTCTCTATTTTCATTCACTTATTTTTTGCATAATTATTTTTTGGGACGCGAATATCCCTCCTAAGCTTAAGGTGTTTGTTTGGCAGATCCTGAATCGTGCCCTTCCCACTGCTGAAGCACTAATTGAGAGGAAAGTTCAGGTTCACCCTCGGTGTCCGGTTTGTTGGGGTGATTCAGAATCCTTGGAACATCTGTTCCTTTATTGCCCGGTGGCTCGTGCTCTTTGGGATTATTCGGGCCTGGAATATATTGGGGAGGGAGTTGCCCCGGGATCATTTTCCGCTTTTCTTTAAGAGGGTGCTGGCTCTGCTTGATCAACCTAGATTGTTCATGGCGGTTGTGGCCATCCTTTGGAGGATTTGGCGGTCTCGAAACTGGGTGGTTTTTTAGGGTAATCAGTTCAGTTTCCCTGCTTTGATGAGGCAGTTTAGCCAGCAGTATGAGGAGTGGGTCTGTTTGCCTCCCGATCCTTTTCCGCAGGGAATGGTGAGGACAATGGGTCTGGCTGATTCTGGGGGAGCAACGGGTAGGAGAAGGTCTCATTCGGCAGGTGGTCTGGTTATTTTAACCCCTGGTAGGGAGGTCCTCTTGGCTAAAGGGGTCCATTTCCAGTCTATTGATGATCCTATGGTGGTGGAATTGATGGTCCTCCGTGAGGCGGTTCTCTGGTGTCTGAATCTGGGATTCACGGAGATCACCTTTGAAGGCGATGCCAAGGTCATTATTGATAAAGTTAATCAGGCGGACGCCGAGGATAGTCGGATGGGGGCAGTGCTTCAGGAAGTAGTTCATTATTTTAGTTCTCATCCTGGTTTTAGTGTTCGATTTGTAGGTCGTGAGTACAATAGGTAGCCCATATGGTGGCTCGCAAGGCCCTGTCTTTGTATCGGACGAGGAATCGTGTCTTTGATTATTAGGCCTGGCTGAATTCCAGGATGTAACTTCTTTTGTCTTGATCGATATATGATTATCGTTTGCCCAAAAAAAAAACACAAAGCATTGCCAATTTGCCATTCACAAAAATCCTTTTAAAACCACCATAACCCACACAAAATCCCGGTCAAAACATGAATTAGATGAAATCAAATAGGGCAATCACCGTCAAAATGAATATTATTTCATTCAAATCCATCAGTGAGACCACCATCCAATTTCTGAATTCATCTAAGAATTAATGCTAGACTCTATCATTTATAATAACCAATTTCAATATTTTAAAATAAAATAGGGCAAAAACACCCTTTGAGCATAACAGTCGACTAAAACCAAAATCGATGTGCTGGTATGTGTACAATTCAATCACCGCAAAATGAATATTATTGTATTTGAATCCATCCGTAACCACCTTCCAATTTTTTAATTCATCTAAGAATTAATGTTAGACTGTCATTTATAATAACAAATTTCAATATTCAAAAATAAAAGTTAACTGCCCAACGGGCAGGGTCCTATTCCTATAGGATGTTCTAAAACCTCATCTGCATGAGGCATTTGGGCCCACGAACCATGGTCCATGAAACCGTACCGTACCGGTGGTTCAACCACAAAATACCAGTATCGGAGGCTAAACCGGTAGGCGGTATTTAACGGTACAACGGTTGAACTACGATTAAAGCACAGTTTTACCATAAAATACCCTATCGCTGACTTTCCCGGTACGGTCTCCGGTACGGTTTCATGGACCATGCCACGAACATAAGAACTGGTCTCGAGGTGGGTGGAATACGGGACGGGACCACACACTTACCGGTCGAGGGTCTCTTGAGAGTTTTACCAATTGGGCTATGTGACATTTGGCTCGTGACGAAGCTTGATGGCGAGTTCCTTTCAACGGAACGGTTCCAAGGGCAATTTGCGTACCTTATTAGTGATATACGATGCCTTAAATTTTACCTTTAATCTAATTTTGATTATAGTGATTTATAATATTTGGCGTGTTTGAGTTATGACGTGTCCAGATTTTTTGGTTGCATGGGACACACTAAATAATAATTACCGGTAATAACTTGGAGACTGACAAATAACCATAAGTGAGAGTTAATTTGGTTCACTCATTTTAAAATGAAACAATTGGACTGAATTGTTTCGTCTGGCAACACAAAATGTGAATGCAGCAGCAATTGGGAGTGAGAAAATTTGAGGCAATCATGCCAAATTGCCTCGATAATTCGAATTATTGGGATCAAACGATTTATGACGTAGTATTCGAGTTCATCTGACCAAGTAATCGTGTGTTTCAATCTCCACTATCCTAATAGTATTCGAGTTCATCTGACCAAGTAATCGTGGGTTTCAATCTCCACTATCCCAATATTAATAGTTGACTTTTAAGTTTTAAGCACCAGATAGGATCATCTCGTTGTTTTGTTGCCGGAGCCGGTGATCAAATGGAGTCGCTTTCCCGAAGTTACGTACAGCATTCTTGGCTGTGCAGGCCGGCTGAATTCTTGGCTGTGCGGCCGGCTGATTACTTCGAGGCATGCAATTAGTTCTCTTCCCACGGTTTCTTCTTCTATGTTCTGGTCGGCGATATCAACGAAATGGCCAAAACCCTTTCTTGTTTTCTGTTTAGAATTGAAAACCCTGTTCTTGTTATGGACGAAGCAATGGAAATAAATTAGGGAGAGATGTGAGACAAGACAATGCCAAAAGGTAGTATCGTAATGATTCATAATCAATGCAAGGCACTAACAGATCAAATCACTCATTTTAAACGCGGCAGGATTGATAGTTTGATACCAATAATTTATGCAAACTTTTATTGGATTTCGGTGGATCATTTTGCAGGTGCAGTAGTAAGCAGGGAGGGAGCAGGCTTTGATCAGCCATGTTGGTAGTGTTCACCAATTTCGATGAATAGAAGAAGAAAAAACGTCGAGAACGCTATTAGACGAAATTATTTTATTAGTCGACATTTGGAGCTTTAGAGACAACTGATGAGTTATTTTTGGCTCAAATAGCTCATAACTTGTTTGACAAACAACTAAGATATGATTTTCTGTGTGAGTTATTTCAAATAACATCATGAGGGTGGTTATTTGAAAAAAGGTAACTCATAAATACCATATCCTCAAATACCACATACGAGCCTCCAAATGTAATAAAATGGTCCTCACCTCCCCTGTACCATCCCTTCCCCGTCCATTTTCACGGTTTCTAGGGATGACAATCTAGCCCATAATCTCGAATACGAGTATTACCCGATGCAAAATGTAGCAGGTAGCCAGGTAGATATGATATGAGTTTAGCCGTTACCGAACCTAGGTTGTGTCCATACCTGTCATGCTCCTACAAACTTGTGATTTAGGTAATACGCGTACCAACTTGCTATCAATTAATGCTCATTTCTTTTTTTGTTCGTGATGGATTTAAACTTAGAGACCTGCAAGTTGGAGATTAGCGATAGCACCATTAGATCAAACCCTTGTTCGCAATGTCAAAATGTTTTCTTTGTATATGACATTTAATTCACTCGTGGATTTTTATAGTCTTATTGCAAAGTTGTTGCCTTGCATAACTACTTTGAATAACATAAAAATGTGAGTATTCTCAAACCAAATAATTTGGTTGCATTTACTAGGACGGCATGGTACATATTTTAAGTATAACCAGCCCGACCGGTGCATTATCATCCCTACTACACACTGACATACATGGTTGATTACACTCTCTTTCACCCCAAACCACCTTTATCTCTCTCTTTGTTGTATTCTATTACTTGGATTTGAATGTAAAGTGAATTCAATCATAACAAGGTTTATGTTTTGTAACAACATGGAGAGAGGATGTAGAGAGGGAGATGGGTTAGAGGGAAACAGATGAAGATAAATGAAGTAACCATGTGGCAGTGGTTCCAATTATGCAATACTACGTGACCAAGATTACACATTTCGAACCTTAGTGATAATTATGTTATCAACAAGCCATAATTTACAGCAGAAAATAAAGGGTTAATATTTTCGTATGGCCTGAACTTTGACCAAAGTAAACATCCTGGCCAATCTTTTAGATCTATAACATTATGGCCCGAACTATACACCAAAGTAAACAATTTGGCCAAATCAGACTGTTGACCGTTAACTTCGACGGTCAAACGCGTTGACTAACGGTCAATGCGCCATGTCACCGCCAACTCAGCAAAAAAAAAAAAAAAAAAAAAATTTAATTACCACCTAGCCCATTTAATTTCCACCTATTAGGTATTTTCTTAATTTGAAGACGAAAAAAAAAAATCCCACAAAACGCAGCGGGTTTACCCTAACCCTACCTTATCCATATCGTTCCCATCTCCATCCACAGAAATCACCCGCCGACCTCACCTCACCTCACCTCACCTTCTCCTTCCTTCATCGTCGAATCACCTCACCGACTGAAAAATGCAGCGGCGGGCGTTCTTCTGAGCCCGCCGCCGCCGCCATCGATCTCACCCTTCTCCCTTCTACCTTCGCCCAGATTTCCCCCCTCCTCCTTCGCGATTTCTGATCCCTCGCGATTTCTCGCGATTTCTTTCTTCTCTCTGTGCATCGATAACGACCTGGTGAAAAGGACGACGACGGGTCCACATTTCAAAGGGACCACAGCCAACAGATCGCATTCCCCACCAGCAACGTAAGCAATCGATCCCTTTCTTCTCTCCATTTCCATTCTTTTTTAATCCTCGCTAAAATCCAAGGATTAGGGTTTTCTAGTAAACTGAGATTAAAGTAATGGAAACTGAGATTAAAGTAATGGAAACTGCGATTAAACTAATGAAAACTGAGATTAAAGTAATGGAAACTGAGATTAAACTAATCTCGTATCATTTTTTTTTTGTCTTTGCTAGAATGGACGATATGGTTGAGCTTATTCTGCATCATGGAGGCGCGATGAATATGTCGGGGGGTGTTCCACAGTACGTTGGGGGGGTTGTCGATGTCGTCAATGTGAATCGTGATGTCCTGTCCTACTTCGAATTGACGAAGACTTTGATTGAAGATTTGGAATATATTTCCGTCGAGAGGCTATGGTACTTGATACCTGGGGAAAGTATGGCGACAGGATTGCATGAAATTGTGTCGGATGTGGAGGTTTTAACTGGGTTGCTGCCTTTGGTTGGAACTGGAGATATAAAGGTGTACTTTGAGGCAACAAGGGATCTCGGAGAGCTGGGTTATATGGGAGATAATTATGGCCATTTTCCTGAAGGGGAAGATGCATCTGGCGATAATTCAGCAGCACCTGAGTTTGTTCGGCTAGAGGATGATGATGCTCAGACATCCGACGAGGAATACCATGAGATAAGAGCTGAAGCTAGGAGAAGGAATAGAAGAATGGTAGCAGATCTTGATGGTGAAGGTAGTTCAGTGAATCAATTGTTTGCGTGGGATGTCAACCATCATGCTGACTTTGATTTGGATAGTGCTACTATTGAGGGTGGAGCTGAAGCGGAAGCTGAAACAGACTCTGTAGAGCTTGATGAGAGTGTGGAATTTGATGAGAGTGTCGAGATTGATGAGGGTATTCAAAGGGGTGCAGAACAAGTCAACGTGGACGAGGAGATCAATGCCGAAGGATCAATTGATACGGAGTATAGGGCCTCTGAGGATTCTGCCCATGTTAGAGGGAACATTGCTGAAGAAGATGGTGCTACAAGCTACGACAAGAGCTTGTGTTATGATCCCAAGTGTGATCATAACACTTTGAAGTTCAAAACACATATGCGGTTTTTAGATGGTAATCAATTTAAAGCTGCTGTTATGAAGAATGCAATTAAAATGGGAGCTGATATTAGATGGGTTAGGAGCAGTTCGACGAGGAAGGAAGCTGTGTGTGCACAAAGGGAAGAGTATGGTTGCATGTGGAAGGTTTATGGTAGTTGGTTTCGTGGAAAAGAAGCATTCATGGTTAAATATTCTGGGCCAGATCATATTTGCCCTCGAGCAATTCGGATTCGTGCTGCGGGTTATAAGTGGATTGCATCTGAGTACCTGGATGTTTTCCGTGTTAATCAAGCATGGAATGTTAACTTAATAGCAGCTGAATTGAAGACCAAACACAATATCTACGTCTCTAACCAAACATGTTATAAGGCACGGCTTGAGGCTCGAAGACTGCTTTATGGTTCGCTTACTGAGGATTTCCACAAGATTAGAGACTATATTGGCCATTTGCTGAGAGTTGACAAGAGAGGGTCATTTCTGCTGGAGGTTGATTCTGTACCTAACTGGATCTTGCGGTTTAGGTCATTGAGACCAATTGCAATGTTGGAGGGTATCCGAGTGGCTGTAATGACACGAATTGTCAAGAACAGAAGAATGATGGAGCGTTGGAGGGATAAATTTCCACCAGTGGTTAGGGGAAAACTAGAAAAGGCAAAGCATTTGGCTCGAATGTGCACCAGCCGCCCTTCTACAGAAGATAAGCATGAGGTAACCATAGGGGACAAAGGATTTGTGGTTAATATCAAGAATGGTAGCTGTTCATGTGGTTTCTGGTTGCTGAATGGAATACCTTGCTGCCATGCCTTTGCTTCCATAACTTACTTGCGAGGGCATCCGGAGGATTTTGTGGATGAGTATTTCTCGCTGAATCGAGTAAAATGTGCCTACATGTACCCTATCCCACCATCAGAGGGTCGACAAGCATGGCTTCCAGTGGAAGGATACAAGGTGTATCCACCACAAATTCGTCGGATGCCTGGACGTCCAAAAACTAAGCGGAAGAGGGAGACGTGGGAGGTAACTAGGAAACCTTCTAGGGATGGAAATGGGGAAATTGCTACTCGACATAGCCTTGTGATCACTTGCACCAACTGTGGAAAGGATGGTCACAACAAAAGGACCTGCAAGAATCCAAGGAAGCCACCAGAACCTCCAAAGAAGTCAAGAGCACCTAGGACACAAGGAAATGCACCTAGGACACAAGCTGCTGACCAAAACACCACCAACGAGGTAATTGCATTTTTTACTTAATCGCTACACAAGTTTTTTCCTTGACAGTCATGTTTTCATTTCATTAATGTTGATTCGTATAAATTCAGCCCAAGCGAAGGAAGAAGAATAGCTGCTCAAAGTGTGGATCAGAGTTTCATAACGTAAGAAGATGTCCTATGAATGTTGGTATTCAGGTGAGTAAATGGTGTATGATTCGCATCAATTATGGTGATTGAATGTAGTGTGAACCTGTGAATGTTTAGGGAATGTAGGTTTTCATGGAATGTTTGGCTTTATGTAGGCTCCTCATGTTGGATCATCCAGTAGGCATGTAACAGATAGGGAAATGAGGATGGCAATGCGCGGAATTGGAACTTATATTGATGAGGCGACAGGCAACATGTATGCTAGGGTAAGGTTAATTGTTTGTCTATTAACATACATCTAATGTTTTAAGTTAGTAAGATGCTAATTCGTTGTTTTTGGCAGATGAGTACGAGGGTTCAAGGGGCTGGTGGACATGTGCAAGCTACTGCACCAGATGTGCCTGCAGTAGGTGCTACACAGCCGCCTGCTACTCAGCCAGAGACGCCTTAGGAAACTAGAAGAATGTTGGTAGATTAGGTTGTAGGAAACTCCACGACTTTTGTAATTTTGTACATGGTTGCACATGTTAGCACATGTTTTATTTGTGGAGTAGTAGGAACCTATTTTGTACATGCTAGGACATGCAGGAAGCTTCGAGTCACTCTTTTGCTAGGTTGTCAGAATCAAAACTTATGCCACACCAACGATTCTGCCTTATTTTGTACATGCTGTACATGCTAGGACATGTTAAAAGCATCTAGTGACTCTTTTGCTAGGTACTCAGAATCCCAACTTATGGCACATCCTGTTGATTAATCCTTATTTTGTACATGCTACTGCTATGACATGTTATAATGATGGTGATTGCAAGTTTGGTTGATGTACTGACTCGGTTAAAACGAAACGCTTTATTCAATCTCCACTACAAACACCATTCCTCTTCCTCATGAAATCTCCATTACATACGAAGTGGTCCACACACGATTACAACAACGACTACGAATAGCACACAAAAACAGCATAAATTCATCCTATTTTGAAGGCCATAAACTGTGTGTCTCATCTTTCGCAGTTCGAGACAAATTGCAGAATTCAGTTCGGCAAGCTTGGCCAAGTCCTCTAAAATCACAGCCTTTTCTTCTTTCCGTTTCCTGGCCTTCTCTTCTGCTTTACGAACACGGCCTTCTAGAGCTTCCATATCACCAAGCTTCAATTTCAGTTCATGATACTCTTCCATCAATCCATCAACCCTCGAGTCACTATCCGGCTCGTCATCAACCCATCGGAAAAAATGGCAACTCTTTTTGTCATCCTACAGAAATGGAAGAGGTGAATCGAGATCAAGTTGGTCGAAACAAAGATTTAAAGGTGGATTTCAACCTACCTTCCAATATGGACAGGAGAAGAACATTCTTCCAGGATTCAAGCTAGTGCGAGATGTATTGATCACACAAGGGGCTTTGTGCACTTTACAACGAATGGTGCCTGTGTTCGTCGAACGGGAAGAAGTGGAACCTTCGTCGGCGTTTTTCGCAGATCTCCTCGACATGTCTCTTTCTTTCTCCCTTCGGCAGCGACAGCGACAGCGACTTCGGCGGAGGCGGCGGCAGAGGCGAAGGCGGCGGCAGAGGCGGCGGCGGAGGCGGAGGCGCTGGGCTAATCTTTCCTTCTCAACAACATCGTAGGCGGCTGGAGGAAGAGAGGAGAGGATAGGACGAAGAAGATGAAGAATGGGGGTTAGGGCAGGGGTTAGGGTAAACCCGCTGCGTTTTGTGGGATTTTCTTTTTTTCGTCTTCAAATTAAGAAAATACCTAATAGGTGGAAATTAAATGGGCTAGGTGGTAATTAAATTTTTTTTTTTTTTTTTTTCTGAGTTGGCGGTGACATGGCGCGTTGACCGTTAGTCAACGCGTTTGACCGTCGAAGTTAACGGTCAACAGTCTGATTTGGCCAAATTGTTTACTTTGGTGTATAGTTCGGGCCATAATGTTATAGATCTAAAAGATTGGCCAGGATGTTTACTTTGATCAAAGTTCAGGCCATACGAAAATATTAACCCGAAAATAAAACACAGACAATAACAATGCGCAAACCACACCATTCGGCCATGCCAATAATTAGCAGTCTTGTAAAATTAAAATACAAGTGGAGGAAGAAAGAAAGCGGAGCGGCCTTTCTCGCGAAGTCAAGCAAAAAGCCAAACTCACTACTCACTCGTCAGTCGCCACTCTCCGGCTATAAAACGGCGCATCCGCCACCATCTGCTCTTCCCCACTACTTCCTTCTCCTCCATCTTCCACCAGGAGCATCAACAACCATCTGCCTCTTACTCTGATTACCGTTCCTTCTTAATTTGTTACTGAAGAGTGGGTTTCCCACAACTGGAATAGCAGGGATTTGGTTTCCGATTGAATATGGGGGAAGCAGCAACCAAAACTGTTCACTCCCCTCTCGTCACTTACGTCTCCGTCGTCTCCCTCCTCACTCTCTGCCCGCCTTTCGTTATCCTGCTGTAAAGTTTCTCTCCTCTTTCGTATTACCCTTTGATCTGAATTTCTGTACATGGGTTCTCCCGGAAAAACCATTGCCCCGCATCTTGGCATATTTCTCTGGGTATTGGGGATCTTCCCGGATCTTCAAACATCGGTTTTGGGAACTAAAGATTGTTACTTTCCATTACCTATAGAGTAGTGAACGAGTAAATCCACTTGAGATTTCGACCTCTAGGGCAATCTGTCGCTTGTCTCCCTTTTATCTCCACTTTGTTTTCAGAATTAGTCTCTTCGGGCGCTGGATACCACAATTCATTATCGTTGTTCCACATTGCATGCTGGTGTTATTTTTGTTGCTGTTTGCTTCCTGTCATGGAATCCGGCGTTCCTTGGATCCTCATTGGAATTATAGTCCCTAGCTGTTGTTTTGTTTTGTTTTGTTTTGGCTCTCTGGCTTGTTCATTAATGTTGTTAGTGATTTCTTTTGACGTTTTCTTCTTGTTCTGCTCGAACGTTTTTAACTAAATGGCCGAATTCAGGATCCCTTGCCTCTCTTTACTTGGAAAATTGTTGTAATATTGACAAATTATGGAGAGCAGTGTCCAACTAGGCATGGTCGAAGTTGTATCACGTAATAATTATTCTTGGATACATCACCGTTCACACGTAGCCATAGCAGCTGATGAAGCAATGCTGTGGATCATCAGATGTGCATCTTATGGAATTTTTAATATTTTTAATTCATTGCTGTTATTGCTTTTCTTGAAGCATAAGTCGTGTTGATCTGATATATGTTGAATTTACTGTAAGTTTGGAGTTCGATATAAGGAGTGAACTGTTTTTTGCCCCACCTACTGCAGATGGTATACGATGGTGCATGCTGATGGTTCAGTGTCCCAAACATGGGATTATCTCATTGGAAATGGGTTGAAGGGACTCATTGATATATGGCCAAAACCTACTGCTACTGCCTGGAAACTGATTGGTTGTTATGGTGCATTTGAGGCTGCTCTTCAGCTTCTTTTACCTGGTAAAACAGTTGAAGGACCGATCTCTCCTAAAGGGAACCGACCTGTTTACAAGGTATCCGCTGCTTCTGGTTTGTTTCAGTTTGATTATCGAAACTGCCTTGGTAAACCGATAGGAAGGACTAGTTGAGAACCTTGTGCCATTTTGGTTATAGTGAATTGTTATATCAGTTTAGTATTCTTACTACTATTCTTTCCTTCTGGTGTTTAATTCAGGCAAATGGCGTGCTCGCATATGCAGTCACGATTGCTACATATATTGGCATATGGTGGTATGTAGTCTGCCTGTAAAGATCTATGTCATTATTCATTTGAGAATTGAAATGAGCTATTCCTTATACCGTTGTAGTGATCTTATATAATTAGTAAAACTGTGTTGGTCTCAACTGGCACCGTGGTTTTTGAAGGTAAAGAGTCACTGTTCTGTTTATCACGAGATCAAGAATTAATAATCTAATTGACCAACCAGGTCATATGTGGCTTAATCCAATTGATCCATGTGGTTCTTGTTGCCGTTTCTTTTTATAAGTTCAGTTGTAATGCTATATTACAAATTCCTTTGCCAGATCCATGTTCCTTCTTAGTTTCCATTGATATTTTGGCGTTGAAAGTGTCTGCTGTGTCTAGGATATTGCTATGTAGCGGGAGGAAATTGATTCATTACAGATGCATAACTTTCTTAACATCTTCTCTCATGCTAATTATTACTCTTAGCATGATTCTGTGATTCAGGATATTCTGATCTTAAACCTCCTTTGTGTGTTCCCCTCCTTTCTCAAGGGCCACCCTTATCCTTGGTTTTATCGGTTATTTTCAATAGTGCTTGATTCTGAAGGATACTGGTGATTCAATGTGTGATTTCAGGTTTGGGATATTCAACCCCTCGATTGTTTATGATCATTTGGGAGAAATTTTCTCAGCACTCATTTTCGGAAGCTTTCTCTTCTGTGTTTTCCTGTATATTAAAGTAAGGGTGCTTCTATTGAGAACTAAATCATATTTATGTTATCTTTTGGTTTAGTGCTTACACAACTATTCTTATTTCAGGGTCATGTGGCACCATCATCTACAGATTCTGGCTCCCTTGGGAACATAATTATTGATTTCTACTGGGTGAGTTCTCTATGGTTGAACAAGGAGAAAGCAACTCTATCCTGATTATAGAGGTGGCAAATGGATTAAATTTGTGAATTGGTAGATTGGATTGATGGATTCGTGGATTATAGATCCAAGTGGCATCTAAAGTTTGGACCATCAAGTAAATTTTGATAAGTTTATGTTCTAAAATGTCAATATAGAAAATTATGTACCAAAGCGTAATTTTTGAAGAATTTTTTCATTTAAAATTTTAAGTTTAGGTATCATATTGTAAAATATATAGGTATTGCACTGTAATTTTTCACCAATCCACGTAACCAATCCATTTGGATTTTGGATTAAATGGATTGGATTCAAATTGTCACTTCTAATCCTAATACTGCTTAGTGATAGATTCTTAAAGGATGAAAAAATGGCTTATGATAATCTGGGTTAAAATCTATGTTCATTTGTAATATATCTTTTCATTCCTTTTGTAGGGTATGGAGCTATATCCTCGAATTGGTAAGAACTTCGACATCAAAGTTTTCACAAACTGCAGATTCGGGATGATGTCTTGGGCAGTTCTTGCATTGACCTACTGCTTTAAGCAGGTGAATGAGTTTTAATGAATGAGACAAATAATTTCACTAATGTACAGAATTTGAGTTGAAATTTTATGACTTTATGCATCTGAGAATATAAGACTGTTACGAATTCCATTGATTCCAAGAGTTATAGAGCTAATAACAGTTCTGTCTTGCTGATTATGGGAAACAGTAATTTTACTTTTTCCTATCATTGGGGATTAGCTGATGTACTAGCAATTCTAAGAATCATCTTATGATTGTAATAGCTAGGATATATTTGCTATCCTTGTCCTTTTGGTGTCAATACAGACTCTCAACATGAATTTCTTCCTATGTATTTGACCAGTATGAGCTGTATGGGAAAGTAGCTGATTCCTTGCTGGTAAATACGATACTGATGCTCGTGTATATCACAAAGTTTTTCTGGTGGGAGGCTGGTTACTGGAACACAATGGACATCGCCCATGATAGAGGTAAACATGTGACAGCTGATATGTGGTTATTGAGAATGTATTTTCACTGTGATTAAATTTTCTTTTGTTACTGGCAGCTGGTTTTTATATCTGCTGGGGATGCTTAGTGTGGGTCCCCTCTATATATACTTCTCCTGGCATGTACCTAGTCAACCATCCTGTGGACCTTGGATCTCAGGTATACTTCTCTTTCATATTGTGTAGTTCGTGAAAGTGATTTAGGTATTCTATACCTCATCGTAGTCACTTCTCTTAGGTTAATCTTCACCGTTTGTTAAAATGGTGGTGAAGTTGGATGGGAAATTCCTGGGTTGGGCCAATTTTGGACTGGATTGATTCTGTTATAGTCAATATCTGGGGCAATCAGGTTATATCTTGATCAAGTTGGTGGGTTAATCGGATTGTTATTGCTTACAAATCAATCTAAGTTACGAGCTAATCAGCTCATGGATTAATCAGGTTACTGATCGTTAGAAATTTCACTAAACCTGAATTATGAGCAGTCTTGATTTGGCTGTATTGAGTAGGCTGTGTCAGTTTTTGGCAGCTCTAGTAAAACATAAATAAATCAAAATGCCAAGATGTGATTTAGTTTGTATGTGCGGAGAGCCATGTAGTTGGATGTATTTCCCTATATTCATTGTCCTTTACTGTACTTAATTTGTTTGTGTTTCAATTTTTTTGTCCTTGTACTAGAACTAGAACTAGAACTAGAGCACAGAATGCATTATTATTATGATTTTTTAATCATTTTAATAGTGCTATATTGTCTTTACCAGTTAGTCACAAGATAATCTAAAAAAACCCCATGTATTTTATAATTCATCAAAAGAAAATTTAATCTGTTATTAGGTTAAAGCAAATAATGTTTGGTCAATTGAAGTTTGTATGAAAAAGAGTTTACTTCCCATAGAAAATATTTATAAGATCTACATTTCTACTGTGCATGTTTTGGTGGTTGAGTAAGCTCTTTTTCTATGAGTTAATTAGCTTGTCTTTAAGGAAATTATATATCCTTTTTTCTAGTCTTCTGTGCATGTTTTGGTGGTTGGGATTTACGGTACTGTAGATTTGGTTTTAGATAGTTTGTCATATGGGATTCAATGATGCTGCTCTGAGGGGCAGTCATGATGTTATACTCGGGATATCCAACTTTCTGCATGATTGTTAGATTAAAACTATATCCTTGTAACTAGTCGCGGGCCCGACCAGTTGGTCGGATTCCATCGCCAATCACATAAAAAACATTAGCAATTTGTATGCGAGTTACACATTTGTTTTGTAGTATAATAAAATTTGAATTAGCAAAATACTCGAAACATTAAATTGATTGGCAAAATAAGAAAATCAAAACTATTAAAATACTTCAACAATTCATAAGGATCAACAATCACATAGTTCTCCAACATTTTAATGACTCACAATGACATTCTCAAATCAATCTTCTCTTTAGTCCTCGTCGTCGTTATAGATTAATACACATTTTCTTTTTTACTTGTTTGCATTTCATCCGTCATGAACAACATTATCTTCTCCACCAATAATCACGTCTTCATCTCTATTTGTGAGACATTTATATACATTATCAATTGCTTCTTCCTTCTTCCATTCCATTTCAATACTCTGCGAAGTATATTTATTCAAATCCTAAAACTGCCTATTGGTTGGACCAATTGTATTTTACGTAAAATCAACCTATCCTTGTATCTTACTATTTTTTATCTCCGAAGTGATTTTTTTTGTCATAACTTCCTACGATTAAATATTTGTAGTCAACAATCAATCGATGATTTAGACCATTGTCATAAACCATATATATTTCTAAGTTAAGATGTTTAATACTTAATTATTGACAGTTAGTTATGTCTCTCATAAGCCTATGTTGAAATATTTTGGCATATATAATGATTTCTAAATTATTTAATGTTGACTCATTCCTAGCGTGGAGATTTGTAAACTGTCGATGGAAGACATTATGCCTCAATTTTTCAACCATGATACACAAAGTTATTATCTTATACAATATACGTTAGCTAATTATTCTCAAAATTAGGAATAACGTCAAACAATGCTTATTGACCCCTCGGTATATAATTGAATTTATCACTGAAAATGTTTGATCTCTAGAGAATATTTGTTTGTCCGAATTCAACACAAAATGACACATCATCAAGGTTCCATCCTTGACATGGTATTTTAGTTAGTAATTCCTTACTTCTAACACATTCTCTTAAAAGTTAGTTAATCTTGGTAAATTTGTTACACTTAATATTTTCTTATTAATATAAGTAAGTGATAGGATGTGTCTATAACACATTGCGAGCATATAGTTCAAATCAAGGTCTCAAACTGGTTTAAACTGTTGAGCTAGTCAATTAAATGGTTTGAAATTCATGGTCGGATGGGGTCCACCCAATTCAAGCCATCTTATCAATATTACAAAAGCTTATGTGTATATATGGTAATAATTCAAGATTTTCATAACGTGAATGTCAATTACAGGTACCATACAGTAATTTAACAATTAATATATTGTTTGACTCTAAAAGATGTGTATATTGCTTCATTTTCTATAATAGATTTGGGAGAGGACCAAAACGCAACATTCTATCTAATAGTTGAGAATTGGTCAATGCATTCTTTCTTCCATGCCTGTTGCTATGATCACTACTCTTTTTCTATTTTCCTCCCTCCATCCCTTCCTCCATCCAATGGTTTAGATAAGTTTGCAACAACAACAAAAAAGCGGCGGACTGGTAATTCCGACATGCTACCTTTTTTTTGTTTGGCCTGACACGGATTCAGAGGAGAGAGAAAAGACAGATGGGCAGCCAATGTCTACTTTTTCTAATTCTCAATTTTTCTCAATTGGATCCTATAACGTTCATTTTAACTTATAATTTAAAAAAATTTGTACAGAAAAAATGCATTAATTATGAACTACACAATTACATCCATTTTGATATATTTTGAGCAAAGAAATAAAATTAACTCTTCAAAACACGTGTCGATTGTAGTATTATTACTATCATATCTATCATATCATTATGATATAACATTGATATGATGATCCATCTCCTTCATTTCAACTCAGAATTAAAAAAATTATAGAAATAATGCATTCATTAAGATCTATAAATTGATATCCATTTTGTCGTATTTTGTCAAACATAAGACCTCGTACTAACATCATATCATTGTCATATCATGATATTATCATTATGGTGATAATATCATCATACCATACTGATAATATGATGATATGACAATGATATGATGTCATCAAATTATTTTATTAAACATAATACGTCATAAATCAAACATAAAAACTCATACCAACATCATATCAATACTATATCACTGTTATATTAACTTCATATCAATGTGATATCATACCACTCTCAATGGTAATATCATGATGATAGTGGTATGATGACGTGAAAAATTTTGCTCCAAAAATATCAAAATGGATATAATTTTGTAGAGCACAAAAAATGTGAATTTTTTTAAATTCAATATAAAATGAATGCACTATGGTCTGTTAAATTTTCGTCGGAGACTTGAAAATGAACTTCGGCTGGGAATAGCCCTCTATGATATGGAATATTAGATCTTATCTTCCCAAATCACAACCATTGGATTAGGTTTTGTAGAACTACAAAACTATTGGTTTGTATCCTAACCCAAGTTTTTTTTAATCCAAAATATGTATACATGAATATCATCTTATAGAGTATATTTAATTTGATTCTTATTCAAAGATTTAATTTTTAAATTAGAACAAATTTATTTTGATTAACTAAAAAGTGAAAAAGGGAGTGGATCCGGTTTAAAGTTTTTCTTTTTATTTATACACATGAATTATGTGCTTGAGAGCACCTCTTCCACTAATATGGAAGGTTGTTTGGATCGACCTGCGGTTGATTCATTTTGACCATGATCCGGTGAGAAAAATGGGTGTCACACACATGTGGGTAGCCACTTAGCAAGATTCTTGAGTTGGAAATCATACATCGTCGTTTTTTCCTTTGATTTGTGAAATGCGTCTCTTTTCATTTTTTCACCTTCACCTAAACTTATCTTTATAAATTATAAGTTGAACATTCGAATATTAATGTTATATGAATGTGTTTGATTTTTCACTAATATTATATCCATTCCTTTGATTTGTGAAATGCGTCTCTTTTCATTTTTTCACCTTCACCTAAACCTATCTTTATAAATTATAAGTTGAACATTCAAATATTAATGTTATATGAATGTGTTTGATTTTTCACTAATATTATATCCAAATATGAATTGTTATTTTGGTGTAATCTTATAAGTTATTGATCGTATGTTAGATAAGATTGATATATTTTATAAATGTATAAACAATATAATAAAATTTTCATATTCCTAGATAAACTGAATTAAACCGATCAAATCAATAACACTCAATTATACCAACGGCATAGACCAGTTGACAACTTGATAATATGTTTCGGAAGCTTGCTGGAAATAAGTAGCTGGAAATATGTAGAGGGTATAAGTTTTGTCAAATGGCTTCGTTCAGTAATAAGTTTGTCATTATTTAATTAATTTAATTAAGCTTAACAAAAGACAGAATACTCCTTCCGTGCTATGCGCACAAGACAGGAAAAGTAGAATGATATGGGTTCAGCCGAGGAACCTCTATATATGTTTGTGAGGATGCTTAGCCAAAATGTGTTCAAGGGCAAGTGACTTTGAATTGATCAGCTGGACGAGTCCGTTCTTTGTTTCTGGATTGTTGGGTGTAGGACCTTATATTTCACTACTGCTGACACTTTATTATACACTTAATTGTTTACAGCTTGCACTTTTTATATTGGCTGCTGGAGTTCTTTGCGTATATGTCAACTATGATTGTGATAGGCAAAGGCAGGAATTCCGTAGGACAAATGGGAAGTGTTTAATCTGGGGAAAGCCTCCATCGAAGGTCGTCTCATTCCCATTCATTCCTAAGTTCGTTTCTGGTTCCGCTGTCTCTGCTTGGATAATGAAAAACATGGGATAACAAGTTTTGTTAACTGCTAACAGATTGTGGCTTCCTATACTACCACAACTGGGGAGACTAAGTCAAGCCTTCTCTTAACATCAGGATGGTAATTCCAGACTTCACTAGCTTCTCTGCTTTCTGTTGGTTTCTACGCTTAGGGTGCTCTTGACTGTTGTCATTATGGAACAATTATACAGTTTATGGATTCAGTTTCATCAGGGTTATACATTCGCTAGGTTCTTGGTCAATAATTAATTGCTTTACTGTTTGTCTTCCAGGTGGGGCTTAGCCCGCCATTTTCATTATGTTCCTGAAATATTGGCTTCCTTCTTCTGGTCTCTCCCTGCACTTTTCAATCATGTAAGCACTCACTCAGCCTTGCTTATACTTGCCTACTTTTGCAAAATTATGATTTCCCTGTAACCGAATTCCCTTTGATGACGCAGTTTATCCCCTACTTCTATGTGATATTTCTCACCATCCTTCTTGTGGACCGTGCTACACGAGATGATGATCGCTGCCGTTCAAAGTAAGCAGCGTTCTGGACTTGTTCATTCTAGCTAAGCGTGTTTTCCTTTTCCTCAAGAAGAAGGCTGACAATTCATCCCGAATGAAATCTGATGTCCTTGTTGCAGGTATGGGAAATACTGGAAGATGTACTGCAATAAGGTTCCTTACCGCATTATTCCTGGAATCTACTGAAGTTACATCTCCAATGAACCTGACTGGTAACTGAATGGTGCCTTGAAGTTCTCTTTGCTTTTAGTCACTGGCCGTTTGAAAGCCATCTAATGCTCTAATTTACCGGATGTAACACAAACTCTGTCTGTTCTATTTGGGCGACCTAAAAGTTTTGGCCTTTAGGTATGCAGTATCTGTGTAATTTATAACGCTTATGCTTAAATTTGATTTTGCATCTTTTCTTCCATGTGGGTAGCAAATGTCGCAGTGAATCGTCCCTCTGGACGCCTCGGTGTTCATTTTAATTTATCTTCTTGATGAGCGGCTACAGCACTGAGTTGTGTGATGCTACCCTGTCGTATATGGTGCGACATAATAGATGTAGTTACGCACATTTCTTATCGTGCCAACGATGAAAGTATAGTACATGAAGATGATGCAGAGAAATTGTCGAAACTTACCAATTCCTTGCAAACAGATATGTGAAGTTGATATTATACCAAATGTCCCAGTAATCGAATAGTCTAACTGGATGCAAAATGGCGACGATGGAAAGGAACTGTAAGCTGCAGATGCTGAGCAGTAGGAAGTAGCTTGAGAATCCAATGTGCTGTTAGGAGAAGCCATAACTTGAGAATATAATAAGACTGACATGTTATTATTTAAAATAACTAATTAATTTATTCATTTGATTATGGAAAATAATTAAATTAACACTTTGGTCTTGGACTCTTGGTATAACCCACTCGGTCTGACAAATCAATCCGTTTGCCCAGCCGGTCTATCCAGTTCAATAGAATAAGAGAAGTCGAGAAGTTATTCTCCTTTCGCTTGCTCGCTCGCTCTCTATCTCTATCCTCTTATCTGCATCGCTGTATGTAACACTCTCCCTCTGCCCAGCTTTCATTCTGGCGCTTAAACGAACAAAACCCATGAATTGAAACTTCACTCGCAATTCCATTTCTGGGTTTTACGATTTTGGTTCTACTTCATATCACACTTTCCGCTTACCCGGCTGCTGCTTTTCTGTTGTTTCTTCTCTTTCAGATATTACCAGTATCAGCTTGGTCACTCACTCTCGTTCGTCCACTGGGTACGTCTACGATTTTCCATGTTCATCCTTCTAGAACCTTTCTCTTTTTTGAATCTCCGTCGCTCTCTTGCTTTGACACGCTTCTTAGTGGCTTTCTGGGGATCCCGCATTCCTTTCGTTTTGCTTTGTTTCATTTGGGCCTTATAGTTTTCGTTTCTTGAGGATAAGTAGAAGATGCTGAGAATTGCAAGAAAATTTGGCCGTGTTTAAGTGGGAATCAGCTGCTGGGAGGGTAGGAAAGATGGTGAAGTTATCTTTGTGGATAGGAAGAAGAGAGAGTCTAAATGGAGTTGATTACCCAGTTCTAGATTGAAGCTCCACCTGTAGCCTGTAGGCCATAGATGTGTTGGTCGTAATACAGTAGCAATTTTTATAGAGTTAATGAATTGGTGATGTAAGCTGATTGTGCTACATCTGTGTAATCTGTTACTTCTCTTCCTGAAACCCCCTGCAAGGGTTTTGTTCGTGAAGTTACCTTTCTCTAGAGATGGGTCCATAGACTCTTTCTGTTTTTCTCTACTGGGTAGAATTAGCTTGACTAACTGATCAGGTATAATGGGATAAATGTCATGTAACTGTCCGGGTACATGATTTAGCCTGTGGATTCAATTTTCAACCAGAACCATTGAAATGTGATGGGTGATTCTTGACTGTTGTCATTATGGAACGATTAAGGAATCCTTACACTTCGAGGATAAATGTCATGGGTGATTCTTGTGATGGGTGATTCCTTTCAATTTAAGGAATCCTTACACTCGAGGATATGCAGGTAAAAAAGAAGAGAGCACAAAGGTGAGGCCAAACAATGGCTCTCATTCTAACCAATGGTGCTACTCCACTTTGGTCACCATCATGCTGTTGTTCATCTTCAACAACATCTAAGGCAATTACTAAGTTGTGTATGTATCTCTCGATTCCTTTGCTTCCCGCTTACAATTAGATTTGAAGAATGCAAAACTCATGCGGTGCTAAATTTTCAGCTACTTGCCATGCTAATGGGTTATACTTATAGCTCTAGTCCAGTTAACCTAATGAGAAGCTGTCTGTTGGATTTCTTAGCAAAGCCTCAATAGATTTGTTCTTCTGTATTTTGATAAGGTCCCTATTTGTTAATGCATCACTTGCTGCTTTCTGCTATTACTGGTCTTCCTTGTTTGGCTCCCTTCTCCCCCTCTGCTTGATACCTATCCTTTCTGTTAGTAGGCACTCATGTATCTGCCATCTTGTCATTTTGTTTTGAAACTGATGATTGATTGTGGGTGTTGAACTTTCAGTCCCCAAGCTGCACTTGAAGCCCGTTAATCTGCTGTCGAAACCTCTTGATGGACTTAGCTCTGCCACTGGCCTCACTTCAGTGCGGAATATTGGGTTGATACCAAGGGCAGTATCTGACATCGATGATCCTAGTCCAGCCAGTGTGGAGCCATCAAGTGGCAGTGAGGACGAAGAGAGTTTGTCAATCGATAAACTCCCTTTGGAGTCTAAGCTGCAGCTGAAGCTCGAGCAGAAGATGAAAATGAAACTGGCCAAGAAGGTCCGTCTGAGGAGAAAGAGGCTCGTGAGGAAGCGGAGCCTGAGGAAGAAAGGACGATGGCCGCCATCCAAAATGAACAAGTTGAAGAATGTCTGAGACCTATTACCATGTCCCCTTGTTTAGCAGGTGATGCGAGGATATTCTGAGTACAGATTTTGAATACTATTGTTGCCCACCATGATTCCTTCCTTATTGCTGTCAACTGTGTAGCTGTTTCCTAGTGAAATACTCTCCCTTAAACCAGCTTCACTCTGCTGCGCACTGCACATTCCTTTTGTTTAGTCATCGACCTCAACTATATGTTGAATCATTCTGTAAAGACTTCCTCTATTTGATCGAAGAAGCCCACAAGTTAGAAGCCTAACGAAAAGGTATGGTGGGTGAGAACTGAGAAGGAAGGACTGATGGGTTGGACCGTGGAGTGGATGGTTTTGGCCTTTGGGCAGGCCGAGGGGCATTTGTCCTTTTTGATTTGTTTCCTCCATCGCTTTGCTTTCTCTCTCGGTTTCCTGGTTTGTCCGGAACAGAAGCCTAGAGAGAAGGAGCGTCTGACAATATTCTCTGTACCATCTGTACCCTCTCTCTCTCACTCTGCATCACTGTTGCCCTCGTGTCCCGAGTCTCCACTCTCTCTCTCGCTCCTTCCTTCTACAGTATTGCTTTGCTTCCCCCAATCTGCAAATTTTCTTATTAATAACAAACCTCCCAACAGAGTGAGCCAGACAAATTCATTCATTACCCTCTTTTTTCCCACTTTGCTTCCTCCTCTGTTTTCTGGTTTGGCCGTTTCTACTCTCAGCTTGAATTTTAAGTAACAGGGTTGCTTGAGCTTTTCTAACTCTCTTGCCTTCTTCATTTTAATTTGTGAATCAACTCTCTTTTTTCCCGAAGCTGGAGTTATGAGCGGCAAAAAAAAAAAAAGACAGGAAAGAGAGATCGGTAATTGGTTTGGTGGGTTTGTTTGGCTTGGCGGGAGGCATGGATGGGGATTTTAATGTTGGGTTTTAACGTTTTCCAGAATCTAATGAATTAATTATAGAGTATAGTAATCGTCCAACGGCGTTGAAAAGCGGAAGTAGAAAGTGGCAATACGAAATGTCATGAGACTATGACTCCTCTCTCACATTTATAACGTTCTCTTCTTCCCCGACACTACTCTCTCTTTTTCAAAACAGTACCACCTCCCTGACTCCCTCCCTCTCTCTCTCTCTGCTCTTCTTTCTTCATGAGTAAACCCTACTGACAAAACAAGAAAAGAAAGCTAGTTCTTGTTCTTCTCCTCCTCCTCACTAACAAGGATTGTCCTAAAACAAGAAACAGAGGAAGAACTCAAGAAGCAGCACCGCCATTTGATCACTTTCTTTTGCTGTACTTGATATTGGCCCGCCTTCTTTTTGGTGGTGAAAAAGTTGTCTGCTTTTAGCCTCTTTGTGGGTTTGTTTCAGACTTTCTTCACTGATCCTGTATCTTCTTCATCCCTGTGACAATGCTGCTTACTCATGGGTGATTCTTGGGTAGTGGGAACCAATCCTCTTTCAAATGGGTAGAAAAGCAAGCAAGTTTCAGTCTTTCTCTTGTTAGAGCTAGCTGCTACCTGATTTGCCTCTTATTGGGGGTTTTCTGTACAAGTACAACCAGTTGTTGATCTCTGAGAGTTTGTTTGGTTGTTTAGATTTTTGTGCATTTCCTTTCATTGAGATCTTCTCGGACTTTTCCCCTCTGCTTTGACCATCTTTGACTCCTGCAAGACTCGAAGACTTTGATTTTTGAAAAGAAGAAAGAAAGAAGTGGGAAGGGAAAGGAAGAGAAAGAAAGAAAGAAAAAGAAAGTGGTCCCATTGCGCTGTGGAAGATGGATCTGTTCAAAGTGAGGAAGTTTAGAAGAGCCCACAAGCCAGAGCCGGAGAAGGAATCAGAAGGCAAGCCTGTTCCTAGCCCTGAAGAGCCAAAGAAAGACATCAATGGTGGCGGTGGTGGTGAGGATTTGAGTAAAACCAACAACAAATCGGTGGATGTGGTAGCAGAAGCCGAGGATGACGAGGACGATGACTTCATAACCAATGAGGTGAAGAGAAGGTTAAAAGAGTTGAGGAGGAACAGCTTTATGGTGTTGATCCCTGAAGAAGAGTCTTTAGCTGAACAAGAAGAAGAAGAAGAAGATGACGGTGGTGGAGAAGCAAGGGAGGCAATCTGTGGGGAATGGAGGGATGTTGAAGCTGAAGGACGGCAATGGTGGGGTGGGTTTGATGTTGTTTATGATAAGTACTGCGACAGAATGCTCTTCTTTGACCGATTGAGCCTTCTCCAGCTCAATGAAAATGGTAAACACCAACCCTTTTGCATGTTTAATTCCTGCTTGATGTTAGATGGTAATGGTTAAGGTGATTGGATTGTATCAGTTACTATGGAGTGGCATTCTTTTTATCTTACTAGTGCTGGTAAACTGTTTCCATTACAGGCTGCTGCCAAATGCCAACTACTCCGTCTCCAAAATCATCATCGAAGAAGTTACCATCCCCCTTCCGTTGCCTATCATTGAAGAAATTCGACGAGCACGAAGATGAAACGGAGCATCTACAGCAGCCACAGAACGACCCGTACCAAGATCTGGAAACTGCATATGTAGCTCAGATGTGCTTGACTTGGGAAGCACTTCACTGCCAGTACACTCAACTCAGCCAGAGGATTTCATGCCAACCCGAAAACCCCACTTCTTACAACCACAGTGCTCAGCAGTTTCAGCAGTTCCAAGTTCTGTTGCAACGGTTTATCGAGAACGAGCCCTTTGAGCAAGGTCTCCGAGCAGAAGTGTTTGCACGTTCAAGGAGGGTTTTGCCTAGACTGCTCCAAGCTCCAAATGTGAAAGGCAAGTCCCATTTTTCTTATCTTGAGCTACAATCAGAGAAGAACTATGAGATGTCTCTTACATTCAAAAGGCTTGATCTTTAGTGGTGAAAATGACTCTTCTGATGATCCATTCAGGTTCAGATGGTAAAGATGCACAAGAGCTGGAGCTGGATTCGGATTCTGTGGTGCATGCGCAAGATCTCATTCGAGTTATTGAGAGTTCGATTCTAACATTCCACCTTTTTGTCAAGATGGACAAGAAGAAGTCAAACACTGGCATCACATTGTTTGGAAATCAGAATCAGATTGCAACCCCGCTTCAAATGATCCAGTCTTTGATTGACAAGGTACTCTCACTATGCCACCGGTATCCTTCCACGCCAACCCTTTTGAACCAATCAATCAATACCCAAAGTAGCCCGTGAAACCTGTTTTGTTATAGTTAGCTCCATCTTTTTTGCAAACTATGAATCATGATTTCGACATGCATTGTTTCTTGCTTCCGGTGGTTGCAGAAGAAGATGAGACTGAAGGAACTATGCAGGAAGAGTAAAGGATGGAAGAAGAAAACATGGCCTCAATCGTACGAGGATGTTCAGCTGTTGTTTGGCCTCGTTGACATCAAAATCGTGTCCAGGGTGCTTAGGATGATCAGGATCAGCAAAGAACAGTTGATTTGGTGCGAGGATAAGATGAAGAAACTGAATTTAGCAGGTAGTAAGCTGCAGAGAGATCCATCTCCAATCCTTTTCCCATGTTAGTACTAGCTTACTATGTTAAGTGCCACATTGAGGAAATGTAGTGTAGGCCAGGAGAACGGGGTTTCGTTTTGGAATGGTTAGCTGCTAGCTGCGGTTGAAGGCTGCAAATCTTTCATGTAATGTGAAACGCTAAATAGAAGACGCATCAAGCATGTGTTGGATAGGAAGTGCATTGTTCAATCATGGGTGAGCCCAATTCATTGTGACTTGATGTTACTTATCAGAAGAAAGGCCCATTCTCTTACCTCCCAACTTGAGCCCAATTCCTTGTACACATGTCCAGCGTCCACCTTATTACTTGATCTTCAAAAGTCAAAACCCTAGCTGATGATTAGTGATTTTAATTCCTGACCTGATCGGATCATAGTGTGGGGCAGCGTCTGCTACTTTCATTTTGCCTAGTCTATTTGGATTTATCTCAATACTTAAATGTATTTATTGTTTCTTACTTTTTTTTTAACCACAATAAGATTTGAGATAAATGTAAACTAAATAGACACAATTATTCAATTTACAATCTTATGAAGTATTTTCTCTTCATTTTCTCACAAGAGGTATATTCGTCTCTTCAAATAACATGAAGGAATAGATTGATTTGCTCTAGTATGTACCCATATGGGATTTATCCGACTTAATGGGGAGGGAGTATGTCCGCCTCACTCCTCCCTTCCCAATTGACATCACTACAAATGATTTTGCATATGATGTCATATGAGATTAGATAATGTATTATGTTACGGACTTACGGGGATATGCGAACTTGACGAATTAGTGATGTGAGTTAGGCATTTTTGTGTCCGTTTTTTCACAAAAGTTTTTTATGCACCGAGGGAGCAAATATATCCATACTCGAGAATCTTGGTCACCTGAGAGATTTTGACAGCGAGGGCTCGTTGATGACAACACATTGGCGGATTGGCCTCTGACTACCTCATCCATCTTGGGTCCGGTCTCATCTCTCATACACACACCAAAACAACCCAACATTGAGCTATAGAGTTGAAACCAAGTATCGCGCCATTGTCTACAATCTATTCATGCAACTTGAGAGCCAAATACTTCAGCTCCAATCTACCAATGCTTCAATTTCACGTGAAAACGTATGAAGCTTGGTTACCATTTTGTCTAGCAACTGACCAACTCCAAGCTCGTCGTGTCTGGATATTCCATAAACTTGCAATCTCCTTCATTGAACATTTTCAAAAATTCGATTCGCTCTTCTTCTATTTAAAAGTGAACACTACATCCATCTTTCGAGCACGCATCGATCTAAGATAAGAATAACTTGTATATATCTTACCCAACATTTGGTGGGTTTCATAAAAAAAAAAAGTTGAAAGAGCAATATACAATCTACACATAATATAATACACAGAAGGGAAAAACGGGAGCCCCATTTCAAATTTCCTGCAACGAGAGTGAAAGTAGGAAGGACATTTTGGTCTTCACAATTACTTTTTTTTCGTCGTGTCTGGATATTCCATAAACTTGAAATCTCCTTCACTGAACATTTTCAAAAATTTGAAAGAGCAATATACAATCTACACATAATATAATACACCGAAGGGAAAAACGGGAGCCCCATTTCAAATTTCCTGCAACGAGAGTGAAAGTAGGAAGGACATTTTGGTCTTCACAATAACATTTTTTTTATTCATTAAAAAGACACGTACTGGGATTCGAACAATGACCATTTTAAAGAAAAGCAAGGATCATAACCAATCACACTAAGTACACTTGTTGTATCTTTTTAAATTAAAAACATATAATAGCAGGGAGGAAAAAACCCTTCCCCCATTTCAAATTCCCTGCTCCATGAGCGTTTGTAGGAAGGGTAGAATAGGGAGTGTCAATTTTTTTCTCTTTCCTCTGTGGAACGAGCCAACTGACCGTACACATGCGGATTTAAACGGGTCCAGGAGTGTCAATTTTTTTCTTTAAGCCTTTTTATTTCTCCCTGATGATAAAATATATATGAAAAGGCAAAAACAATACTCGTTTTTATTGCTAAAAATAAAAAATTGAACAATAAACTAATGCATGGTATCTAATGGGCTAACCGCTAACCATAAAATAAAAGAGTTGAATGGGTCTGACCTACACGGGATTTGGCCATCAAGTAAAACAAATGAACATCATTGGTTTGTCATTCTAAAACAAGCTATTTTCTCTGGCATAATATATATTATGCTATTATTTTATATCTTAGTGACTAAAATATAATGTATTTTAAAGTTATTCAATGGTTCAACCTCGACCAACCCAATTAGTCCAATTTTTATCATTCAAAATAGGAATGGCAATGGGGCAGGTCCGGGACGGGTATCTCGATACCCATACCCGCCCCATGGCAGGTCGGGTCCAGGTCGGGTAATTTATCACGTGGCGCGGGTAGGGCAGGTCGACCCGTTGGGTATGTAATTATGCGAAAAACATTAGAAACATTCGTTATTTTCATTAAAAGACCAAAAAAGAAACCATAATATGATAAAATGTAGTTAAATTATTGAAGAAATTGAGGTTTTCACTTATTTACAACTTTATTATAGCTAAAATATAATATAATAAGAGGAAAATCCTAAGTAATTTGACTAAGATTAAATGTAATATAGGCAAGAACGGGTCGAGAATGGGGCGGGTCAGGGTAGGTCAGGTCGATGAGAGGTACCCATGCCCGCCCCGCCCCGCCTACGGGGCTGGTTTGACCTACTCCAAAACAGGTCAAACAGGTCGGGTAAATCGGGTCAGGTCGAAATTGCCATCCCTAATTTCAAATATATATTATATAATTATTTGATATCATAATGATCAAATTATAGTGTATTTTATAGGGAATCGTTTGGTATTTGTTAGTAAAAAACTAAACAGAACGATCTATTTGGTTATTTTAAACATTAAAACGATACTAAATATTTTCAGTTCCTTTTGAATTTTTATGATTTTATTCTCGAATAAGTGATGTGCAAATGGCGAATTGCAGTCATCTCTTTTCTTTCACTATTTTTTATTTTCAAATAGAAAGTTTAAAAGTAAAGAATAATTAGAATTTGGCATGAGTCGGTCAAACATGCTGAATTTCAAGTTTTGGCCCGTTTTGATCAAGTCTAATTTATAATCACATGGTTCTCTGATACCCGATAAAAATCTCAATCCAAACCAGTTTGGCAGGTGAGTTTGTGTTTACCACCACTTTCTAGGATACGACAACGGCGGTTCCTATCCCAAATTGTGTTATTCGTTCTTGATTTCCTTAGGCCCTGTTTACTTTCATTTCTGTTTCCTGTTTTTGAGAAAACAGATGTTGAAAACGGGTGAAAACAACATTTTGTCGTTTCCGAAAACATCAGGAAGTTGCCACTTTCTGTTTTCATAGTTGGAAACGAATAGAAAACAGAATGAAAAGTAAACAAGTTTTCTCGTTTCGGTTGCCAAATTTATGACATGAAAACAGAAAACAGGAAACGAAAATGGAAGTGAACAGGGCCTTAGATTTTATCATGGCCTAACAAAAACCAGAAAGCACAATGACGACAAGATGAAAGTTTTATAAAGCAAATTAATCGACCAACGGGCCGAGTAAAAGCTAGCAACGATTGTGAGATGCTCATTTCCCGAAAACCGACAAGATGAAAGTTTTTATTCATTGCATCATTCATGTCTCTTTCCTGCTAAAATTCACTATTTTTATCACGAATTTCCCAAAAAAAACTATACAACAATAAGCTATACACCTCATTATATTATCAAATTTCATACCTCACCTTCCTCCGACCAACTGACCAAGCATTAATTATGCATCATTCTCTCGCCAAACCCTAAATAAAGCAAAGTCAAAGGTCACAAAGAAGAATCTATTGGTCACCACATTTCTAGTAACTCCAATTATTGGGACGACATGTACGCTTTTGATTGAGTGCATGAAAGAGAAGGGTTAACTTCTCATCTCAAAATACAAGAAAAAGGTTTTACTTCTCACTATTAAGCCGTCTGTGTCAGAGAACAGAGTAATTCAGAATTCTCATTCAAGCTCCATTTTTACTTGTTAAATATTTGGTAGTTATCCCAAAAGGAGGAAAAAGAGATTGAACAAGAAACCTCCACAGCGCTGCCATGAAAATTCGGTCACAGGGACGGGAGCAGAGACAGAGGCAGAGAGCGGCTGATGTCAGCGACAGCACGACAGCCACGTGTCGGCTCATCCTGCTCTCTTGGTCCTGACGTACACGTGTCAGGGAGTGGCCTTCTGTTCCCAAGCAATGAAGGCTTCTTCACCTAAGAACCAGAAGGACCAAAACATCCCCGCCCACCAGTACCAAGAAGTGGTTAGTTTCGTCATTCAGCAAATATCGCCAAAAGATTTTTATACTTTGCAGATATGTTAATTTAATTATCAAGTTGGAACTTTAATTAATAATTGATAAAGATTAGGAATTTGGAACTAAACGGAAGCAAAAGTCTCAAACTTGAAGTCCGGGCTAACTGTTGGAGGAGGAGAGGGTTCTCTAGGCTCTAGCTATAGCAAAGCCAAAACATTTTTTTTGGTTTTGTAATTTACTAAGCTCCAAAAGCTCTTGTTTTGGTTCTTTCTTCTTCACGGAGTTTGGAGATTCTGTGTTTCTTTCAAGAACCCTCAAAGGCTTCTGGTGGTCTCTCCTTCTTCAGCTGCTGTTTTTCTTCTTCTGGGTTTCGTTTGTGGCTGGTGAGTGAGTCCAAGCATCCTACTTTCATGGTGTATTTGTTTATCTTACTGTTCTTGTAATTTCTGGTTCTTTACTAGTTTTTGGTGTAAAAGAGGTGCCTTTTTTCTTCTTCTTCCTGCTCCCTTTCAGTTTGGTGGGTTGTAGCCTTGTGGGTTTGCTTTGATTTTGGGAAGCAGTAAGTTGTTTGTGTGGATTCTGGGGTTTAACTTTTTCTTTTTTTTGGGTGAAGTTCTGAGGTTTTGGGGTAGGTCAAGCACAAGAATTTTACATGATCAGTTGTTAGAAGACTCGGTCATTTGCTGAAATTTGGATTCTGATCACTGTCGAATGCCAAAGAGTCATATTTGACATGATGTGTATTTTAAGCAATAATGATGCATTGCTGTGGTTTTTCTCTTTCTTTGGCTTAACTTGTGTCGTACTCGCTAACCTGCACTCTGCAGCGAGGCACACAGATTGATGGCTTTCACTATTTTCTGGGTTAGGGGTTTATGATGAAATGGAAAGATGAAAATGGATGGCACTTACTTTGATTCGTTACAAGGATCGCCATCAGGTCCTGCTTGTAATACGTGCAGTTAGCTCCTTCACGTGCTGTATTCCTCAATATTGTTCAGGGCCTTACCATTGTTATTCTTTTCTTCGCCTTCTTTCTGTTCTTACTTTCTCATAGCTCATTATTTACTTTTCCGTTCGTTTTTGTGTGTTGACATACCTGATTCTCTAGAGGTGTAGAGTCGTGTTGAGTTGTCATCTGCAACCTATGTAACCTAAAATCATGCTGTTACTATAGCAGGACGATTCAAACATCATCTGGAAGCTGTGCATGAATTGCTGATTAAGAAGTCTAGGAAATTTCAAAACCTTTGTTATCTGTTGCTGGTTCAATATAAGTACTTGTCTAAGGCCTTGCATTTGATGAAGCCTTCAATCAGATCTATTATTGTGCATGTCGCTCATCATGGCATTTGGTTAAAGGTTAAATGTTGGAATGTCAGTTGGTTTGGTGGTTTGAAGATATCCAAGTTACCACTACAATTGAGTTAATTGACTTGGTGTCATGAATGCAGTGGTAAATCAATATGGCTTAGAATCATTGGGACAACAAAAGGATACATTTGGTGATCAGGAAAAGGGGAATCTTAGAGAGTTGAATATGGCAACTGAGAGCCCTGTGAGAATGGTGGAGGGATGTGGAGCTAGAAAGTGGTCATCGTCAAAGGATGCTGCTATTTATGGATCGCCTTTAAAGTCTTTGGCTGCAGAAGAATTGGGATTGCTTCTCAAAGGGCATAGGATCCATGGTGATCAAACTGAAAGTGTTCCCAGTCGAAGTGGTAGTGCACCACCAAGTATGGAAGGGTCATTTGCAGCTATAGGGAATCTCTTAGCTCAACAGAACCTGAGCATGACCTCTAGCTTGGAAAGTTTACACAATGCTATCGAGAATTGCGAGTCTGAAGAACAACTGCGCTCTGATCCTGCTTACTTTGCTTACTATTGTTCTAATGTCAACTTGAATCCAAGACTTCCGCCGCCACTGTTATCTCGAGAAAACCGGCGTTTGGTGCGCCATATTGGTGGTTTGGGCAGCAACTGGAGAGGTGCTTCAGTAGATGACAGTGGCGATGTCTCCTTACACTTATCTGGAGGCTCCCTATCGACTCATAAGGAGGAGCCTGAAGATGAAAGGTCACCCAGGGAAGCATCTGAAAATTCCTTGGACAATGGCACTCTGCTTGTCTCGGAGCACAGTGCATCTTTTGCAGCTGGTCGTCATAAAAGTTTGGTTGATCTGATACAGGTACATAATATCTTCCTTCTCTACGTGACATGTAATAAATTATGTTGGATAGGCATAATGCAACATGATTATTAGATCTTAGTGGGATGGCCCAAAGGTAGTTGATGACTGATGGAAAAATAATTGTGCCTTTCGAGGATGCTTTTAACTTCAGTTAATAACTTGATTTTTCCATTTGAAAAGGATGAATGGAATTCTTTTTTGGGGCCATTCAGTGAGGCAGAAGTCTGCAGCTTTCTTGTGTGGATCATACTTACCCGAGGATTATGTGCATCTCCATTCCTTTTCCATTTTCACGAGTTTGGTTATGCATCATATTTGGTCTTGCTCTATTATATTGGATAAAGTTAACATTTTACTTTCTCATTGACACTTTTTAGGGGTCTGGTAAGCATTGTAGGTTCTTCTATACATGCTAGTTGAATATATATGTTACTAAGGACAACCAACGTGGATTCTTTGTTTTGCAAGCATAGAAGGTTATCAATGAAATCCTTAATAATCTTTTCGAAATATTGGTGATGCGATTTGGGAATTATATATTTGCAAAATTGTCGTATTTGACGTATCTTCAATCACGAAAGGATCATGACATGGCTAGGGAGTTGCCATATTGAAAGGTTACTTTTTCTTATGCGTATGGGAGGAACATTTTCCAAATGGCTGCATACATGTTCCACAACCTGTTGGAGGTGCAAATGTGTCAACAATGGTGCAATCACCTTTCAGTGCAATTTCGTGTATTGCTATGTAACCCTGCATCTGAGAGTTGCATTGATGTCTGTCCTCCCTAACTTTATCATGTGGTTCACCATAGTATAGAATATGATTTTGAACAGCTGTGCCACATTTAGGCCTGACAGGATTATTTCCCTTCATTCTTGGAGTGCATCTCTCCGAACTCTTCATGATGTTGTTCTCACATTGTTTGCCTACATTGGTTCTTTGTAGGAAGACTTTCCTCGGACACCGTCCCCTGTGTATAGTCATACTCGATCCCCAGGTCATGGAACTGATGAAGCTGTTGAACACGACGTAGATGCAAATACAGCGAATGTCTCTTCTATTAGTTTGTCGGATGTACCCGAAAAAGATGGCGGTTCTGATGGAGCTTCTGATGCATATGAAGTTGACCTTCATGCCCTCAGTTTATCATCAGGCAATGACACCCCAACATCCTCTTTGCAAAGAAATCCACCCAAGAAAAGGGATGAATTTGCGACAAAGGAAGTGAACCAGGTAGGTGATTCGCCAAATATAGGTTCCATTCAGTCTGGTGTTGTCAAAGTGGAAGCTAGGATGAGAAACAGACAAGAAGATCATCAATCTTATGGTAGGAATGCGTCTCAGCAGCATCCATCTGTTCACCGTGCCATTCCTCACCAGGCTCATGGGTTCCAAGCTCTCATGGTTTCACAAGCTATGAACCATTCCCACAGTCCTGTTGATAACTTATCGCATGGCCACCCTAATTTCCCATCTATTGGCTTACAATCATCAGTCAACTCCTCTGTACTCAATCCTCCTTTATATGCAAATGCTGATGCTTACATGACTGCTGGGAATCCTTTCTATCCAAACTTCCAACCATCTGGCTTGTACTCTCCGCATTATGGTATGGGAGGGTATGCACTGGGATCAGCATTCGTTCCCCCATTTATGACCAACTATCCTTCTCATGGTCCAATTCCTATTCCATTCGGTGCTGCTTCGGCCCCAGGGACTGATGGTAGGACTGTTGCACCCTTAGCTGGGGAAAGCATTACACATATTGGTGGATCGCATCATCCGGGGAAGTTTTATGAACCTCATGGATTAATGCTTCAACCACCCCTTGTAGATCCACTTCATATGCAATATTTTCAACATCAGTTTGGAGATCCATATGGTGCTACTGTTCAGCATGACCACCTGGCATCAAGTGGAACTAGTGCTGCTCAACTTGATACATTTACTCCAAGGAAAGATCAGTCTATTCCTACATATTTTGGCGACAGAAAACTCCAGGCTCCAACTTATGGAAATTCAAGCATTCCAAGCCCTGGAAAAGTAGGACTAAATAATAATAGCTACTATGGGGGGCCTGCAGGTATGGGTGTAATGACCCAATTTCCTGCCTCGCCTCTTCCCAGTCCTGTTCTATCTCCTTCAGTAGCAACAGTGAATCATTTTGGTCGACGGACCGACACAAGATATCCCCAGGCCTCTGGCAGAAATTCAGGACTCTACTCTGGGGGCCAAGGCCAGAGGGGGATTAATAGTTTTGATGACCAGAAAAGGCATTACTTCCTTGAAGAGCTTAAATCTAGCAATGCACGCAAATTTGAACTCTCTGATATAGCAGGCCATATTGTTGAATTCAGGTTCCATCCTTTACTTATTCCTTTGTCTTGCTTCTTCATAGCTAGAATGCAATTGGTTCCCCCCCAACACACACACACACACACACACACAATTAATTCTGATTAGGTGCGATTCAATTGGTTTTTGAGTCATTATGCCAGCTTAAATGTGGCCTAGAGCTGGTTGACTTTATATTTATTCTGGTTATGTTGATTGTACCACCATCCTCGCCATTTGAAATGAATACTCCGGAATCGATCGGTTTCTTGACCATATGTCTGGTTTCAGTGTTGATCAACATGGTAGCCGATTTATCCAGCAAAAGCTAGAACATTGCGGCGCTGAGGAAAAAAGTTCCGTCTTTAAGGAAGTGGTGCCTCATGCTTCAAAGTTAATGACTGATGTCTTTGGGAACTATGTCATACAAAAGGTACATTTAGTGATTTCTTTTCGTCAAAGGTCTTGCCTCTTCATTTCATTATTTTTCAATTTGTATCTCCGTGGGATGTTCAATATGCTCCTTGCATTACAGTTTTTCGAGCATGGAAGTTCCGAACAGAGAAAAGAGCTTGCAGATAAGCTTGCTGGACAGGTGTTGCAGTTGAGTCTTCAGATGTATGGTTGCCGTGTGATACAGAAGGTAATATAAGGGTGTAAGGTATCTTTTGTGTCACGTAACTGTGTGTTTTTCAGTATATAAAAAAAAATCTTGATGTGTGCATAGCTTAGTGTTCATTTGCTTCCTGGAGGTTTCTTTGTGTTCTTGAGCTAGTAGGTATGCGTCTTTTGTAATGGTTCCCGATCTTTGGTTTTTCGAATTTAGCAAATTACTGGGGTTCTTCTGTGTCGAAGATGAATTGGTTGTATGTTAAAGTTTTGTTGGTCAAAGGTGCCCTTCTTAAATTATTGGGTAGTAGTGTTTAAGCTTTCTCACCGTCATACTTTATCCTTATTGCTGCTCTGGAGAAGTTCTATTTAGCATATATGTGTTTGTGGAGTTGGGGAAAGATGCTAAAAGTTGGACTAATTGTAAAATAATTATTACTGTTAGGCCCTTGAGGTGATCGAGCTTGACCAGAAAACCGAACTCGTGCAAGAGCTTGATGGTCATGTGATGAGATGCGTACGTGATCAGAATGGGAATCATGTCATCCAGAAGTGCATAGAATGTCTTCCGTCGGAAAGTATTGAGTTCATTATTTCTGCTTTTAGAGGCCAAGTTGCCACACTGTCCACCCATCCTTACGGATGTCGTGTCATCCAGGTAAGTTCATAATTTGTTGGTCATGTTGGCATGTATTCTAGCTTTTGGCTTTAACGGTGTTCTGCTATTTCTGTGGGGTTATGGTGTGTAGAGAGTTTTGGAACATTGTTCAGAAGGACAGCAAAGTCAATGTATTGTGGACGAAATTTTGGAATCTGCTTTCCATCTTGCTCAAGACCAATATGGCAACTATGTAACCCAGGTATCGGTTTGTGCTTGTATTTTGCTGCTAAACTGTCTGTCTGTGTGGTAGATGAAGATATACCCTTATAAGCTTTTGTGTCTCAAATTCTTACCTGCTCAACAAGTTTCCTCTTGGAAAGTGGATATTGGCAGGGCAAAATTTTGAGTAGGGTAGCTTAGCTCATGATATAGTGCCATGTGATTTCCTGATTTAGCTTACAGCAACATGGCCTAGCAGGCAAAAAATACTACTGTCCGGTCCACATGTCAGAGGGTGAACGAATTATAGTCCCTACTTGATCCTAAGAGAAGATTGTTGATAGTGCCGTCATATTATACTTCGCAAAGTTGGATGCTTCTATGATGCTTACGTTGCTATTTCATGCTTTGAGATTGGTGGTTGTAATTTCATGCTTGCATTAGGTGTCTGTTGACTGATTAAATCGACATATCTGGGATGCACGAACTTTTTGCAAGGGCTTATAGATGGAGAGACTAATTTGTCATATTGCTGTCGACCTGTCGTATCTTATCTTTCACTGTGCTCGGCAAAGTCAGTTTGCTGTGTTAAATCAGTTATTTTTGTGCAGCATGTTCTGGAGAGGGGGGAGGCGCGTGAAAGGAGTGAAATTATCAGCAAGTTGACTGGGAAGGTGATCCAGATGAGTCAGCATAAATACGCGTCAAATGTTGTGGAGAAGTGTCTCGAACACGGTGATGTTGCTGAACGTGACCTCTTGATAGAGGAGATTATAAGGAAACCTGAAGATAGTGACAGCTTGCTGGTAAGTTCAAGGTGTTCATTCTTTTATGATGGGAGTAGTTTGTTACAAGTATGGGACAAATACAGTCGGATTTTTTGTGCGGGTGTGTGTGTGTGGGTGGGTGGGTGGGTGGGTGTGGGGGGGGGGGGGGGGGGGGGGGGAGGGGAGATGCTATGGTGCTTCTACCCTATTGATTCGTCCGAATTGGTAACAATTCGGCCTAGTGTCTGACATGACTATGACACATTCTCCCCACCCTGGGATATCTAGTCATTTGAACTTCCTTTCATCGTGTGTGCTGCTATGTGAAGTGCAGTGCTGCTAGGCCTTGAACAGCAGTTGGATTGAATCTTTGTGTGAAGAAGGGGGGGGGGGGGGGGGGGGAGAAGAAGGAAGTTTTTTGGTTTTGGTGCAACCGAATTTGTGGCACCGATGTGCCTCTGTCCTTGCTAAAATGTAACTGCCATATTTTTCCATTGCAGACAATGATGAAGGACCAATTTGCAAATTATGTTATCCAGAAGATTCTCGAGATTGGCAGCGATCGGCAGAAGGAAGCACTGCTCAATCACATTAGCCTCCATATTAATGCTCTGAAGAAATACACGTACGGGAAGCACATAGTTGCTCGGTATGAGCAGCTCTGTGGCGAAGGTTCGTCTATGCGTATTTCTTACTCTCATTTTTCCAGTTATCGTCCATTTGGTTTGTTGCAATAAAGCTGCCAGAAGGAGAACTGGTAGCTGGATTACCTCTCCTCACTTGTGGAATGTTGAGCTCCTTCCATTCGAAAGATGGAATCCTTGTAGCGTTTATGACTCGAGTTACTGACCCCAAAACCACATATGCAGAGAGTGAAGCCCCCGAGCCTTGAAGTCGGTTACACACTGTGTTTGGCGCTCCTCGACAGCCATGGAGCGCGCGGTGTCGTGCTTGTGGCGATAGCAGCCAAAGCCAGTTGAAGAAATGTCGAAAGGCATGAGGAAAGGAAGGGTAGATGAATTGAATGGGTATTGATTCTTATGCACACAAGAATTGATTGAAGCTGGGGAAACAAAGAAAAGAGGACTTGATGTATGTGGGGAAAATGGGCCTTTGGTGAAAAATTTGGAGACGGTGAAAGTATATATTAGTAATGTAGTGTTTGTGATGGGTGTGGAAGTAAAAAATATGGTAACGTGTACATGAATGTAATGTATAGGAAGGATGGAGGAAGGAAGATTATATATGTACACGGTGATTGATGATAGGGATAGTCTTGCACTGTTGATCTTTGCAGCAGAAATTGTGGATCAGTGAGTGGAATTCTTGTGTTTGGTTCTGCTTTCTGTCTTGGTTGGTCTTTGCTTTATACATCCTTCTGTTTTTTGGTAACTCAGAGAGGAAAAGCGAGACGGATCTGTTTTCGAGATTGGGTTGGTGTTCAGTTTATCGGGCAGTCGAAGATCCTAAAGTATGGAACCCGAAAAATCCCATGTCTTTCTTGCTTGGACTAACCCAGCCGGCGATTTCTATCCTCGTGAATTTGGAGAGCAGAAACAAGTTTCTGCTTAAAACAAGAAGTGGAACTAAGGCGATAAAATGAATAGTGTTTCTTACGACAATATTTTGTCATTAATTCAATAATATTTCGTCACTAATTACATCACTAATTAAACTCCAGGCATATAAATGAATCTCGGTCATGGGAGATGAGCAAAATCCGATGATGAATAGTCACTAATCACAATGAAATATTTATGTTATTTAGTAAAGGAGAAACAAAATTAGATATTATATCACATTTTTGTAATAGTAGTAAAATGATTTGTTCGTGTGGACTCCCTCTAAACATGCTTGTTTACTATGCATCTCCGAAATTGTTACCAAATTAAGCGTTTTGTCGCGATTTCCAAATTATTGTTAAACTATTATAAAATGTTAATCTTTACCTTCCCAAAAGAACACTTCAACTTTTGTTCTTCATTTTCCCGGATCGATTTTTCTCAATCATAATTTTTTATATTTTAGTCACAAACCTCGTCTCGTCTCTACTCTCTCGTGATATGCTTATGCTCTAATACAATTCTAGCTGATTCTCTTTGTCTCAACGACTGTGCATCATGTAACTACGTTTGTCAATGATTGTTCTGTAAGCATCATGGCTTAAATTCATTAGAGGTAGTCTTTCAACTTTTTTGGGTGCCTTCTCTAGGGTGTCGCTTATATGGGATTTCTAGGCTTGTAAAAGATTTCTGGGTAGTTTTATTTGTATAATTTTTATCTTATTTTGATATCACTCGGAAATAAGTAAAAATCATGGCTTTAAATTCATTATTATGGTGTGTCAACGGTCAACCAGCCGAGCCGATTCTGTTCCATTTTAAATAATTAAACCCAGACTTTGTTAATTATTATGTAATTATTGTTATTCTACACGCCGTCCGGACGGGGACGATCCATTATTCAACTAGCCAAACGGAAAACGATAAGGAAGAATGGGACGAACGAGCAGTTTGCAAGAGCCAAAGGTTCCGCTGACCGCCTGAAACATTCAGAAACCTTGAGAAAGGAAGAAATCTAACCTGCTGCGGGGAGCGGCGGCGACAATTGGATTACCGGAGGTGAGAGAACCGAACAAGGAAGGATAACGGAAAAACTTTGATGTCAAATTGAGTTGTATCGGAGACGGGAAAGATGGAGACTAACGGCGCCGGCGGCGGTGGAGGAAGCAGCAGCAGCAAGAGGAGCGAAATAGGAAAGCCGATTATAGGAATGGTTTGCGGTACGCTGGTGTACTACCACTGTGCTCATCGGAATTCCAGCCTTCTCTCCCTCCTCTCCGACGTCCTCATCGTCCTCCTCTGCTCCCTCGCCATTCTCGGCCTTCTCTTCCGCCAATTGAACATCTCGTATGCAGCCGGCCCCCCCTGCTTTCCCTAACTTTCAGTTTCCTTGCCCTTTCGTTTCTTTGTGTGTGGATGAGTGAAGGAAAGATAGAACTCGGTTAGGAATTTCCTCTGTAGTCTGTTCAACCAACCGGGATTGATGTTTTCGCTGAAATCTTCTTGCTGCTTGCTCGTCTGTCATTTGATTGTGATATATGCTGCAAAATGTTGGCGTTGTAGGATTCCTGTAGATCCACTGGAGTGGCAGATCTCTCAAGACACTGCTAATAGTATTGTTGCATGGTTTGCTAACACCATAGGAGCAGCTGAATCTGTGTTGAGGGTTGCAGCAACTGGACATGACAAGAGGTTATTCTTTAAGGTAAATTTCTAACTGCTTCAACTCACCAGTCATTCTACTAGGATTCTGCTCGTTAGAGCTAATTGAACATCAAAGCTAGCAAGTTTGTTATGTATGATTGACTGATTGTATGTACTTCAACTGATGACCTCCTAAGACCTAGCATGATAGTAAGGTTATATCGTCGTACCTTGATGCTATCAATAGGAGAGTTTGTTCTGTCTGAATCAATTTTATAGCATTTCCACCAATGCATACTCGGCTTACAGCCTATGGTCCTCATATTTTGTCTTCCGGTGTTGCCTTCTAGGTTATGTGTTACACAATGGTGTAGTAATAGAAAGCTTTAGATTTTTTGTGATACTCGAATAGATTATATCAGAGCAATATTGGAACTCCTGTTGACAGGCAGAATTCTCAATCTGTAACTTTTGGGAGTAGTAGACAGAGGAATATTGGAAGTCCAGATTGACAGACAGAGCAATATTTGTGAAATTCTATTGAGTGCTTTATCGATTTCGTCATAGTTGGTGTTTTATGGGATAATATCAGATAGCCACTTTGATAATTCATTCGAGTTGGATGATCTGTAAAGTTGTGTCAGTGTCACTTGCGTTTGAGTTCCAAGATTTTAAGGAAGATCTACCATTTGAGGTGGTGCCGTTCTTCTTGTGCTATTGTTTAGAGCTCATTCGTTTATGTTTGTGGTCAAATTTTATCAATGAAATAGCTGGTGGTGGATTTGAATTTACACTTGAAACCGACATAGCTGAAGTGAAGAGCATTGTGTGGGCTTGCAATCTGTTTGTGTTCTTGAAAGGCAAGGAAATCACTCATTTGGCTTTGATTAGGACTGATAATTTCAACTTATTGGGTTTCTTTCCAATAAGGTCTTATGATGTAAACCTGGTTTCCCTGACGGGATTGATAATGAGGCATTAATAAAGTACATCAAGGTTGCGAGTTGTCTATGGTTGGATATTCTGTTGAGATTTTAGGCTCTCGTTTGTTCTCCCTACTGCGGCCACAGAGTTCCAATGTTGTGAAAGAGCTGTCGGGTGGCCTCCTGAACCACAAATTGATTATAACTGAATGTACTTCATCTTGTTCAATGTCTTGGGTATAGATATGATAACACCAGTTAGGTAGATAAAGAACTATGGCCTCAATTTTATCAGACTTAAGTCACCTTTGTGCAACAGCAATCAGCCCTGCTTTTGTTTCTTGGTTTTTGCAGATATGTTGCGTTATGAAGAATCCTAATACTTGTTGTTCCCTCCTCAGGTTGTAATCTGTCTCTACATACTATCGGCGTTGGGGCGATTGGTTCCAGGGGTTACAGTTGCATATGCTGGTAGAATTTAATTGGCCTTACACTCCACAAGAACTTTGTGCTTATGTTTTTGTCACCCTGTTCATATTGCAAATCCATTGTCATCATCTTCCTTATCCCTAAACTAACAATACCAACTTTCTTCTGGCCAACAGCATTGTGCATGTTCTGCCTGTACATTCTGGCCGACAACTCAGAAACATGCAGCAGTTGCCTCTCTTGGCTGTTGGGCCGTAGCAACAGCACCTCTGCAGAACCAGATAGCTAGCAAGCCAAGTTGAACCAAGTTTTGTTTGGCCGAAGTAACAGCACAATTCCAGAATCAGATAGCTAGCGAGCTCAAATCAATTTGCGGACCGCAAATCTCGTGTTCTTCAGCAGCTTTTCTCCATCTAACTACTTGAAGGCCGTTGGTGGTTTCCCCCCTTCTGTACATACAATACAGCTCATTCATTGTTGGAGCTTCGCATGAACTCCTCTGTTAAACTTCCATTCAATCAAACTAGCTTGGTACCCGGCCTGTTGGCCGGGAAGTCTTATTTTATTATGTGATTACGTTTTCTTAAGATGAAAATTTTATGCATACATACGGTATAATCATGTTTTCGCGAACATGCAACATATATAATCAGATACTTAATTATTATATTTAAATTATTTTTGTATATATTGTTTTAATAAATGTTTGTAATTTTTCACATGAGACCCTTATGTAAAATTTTGATGACTTCATTTAATTAAAATAGAAAGACTAATTACATAATTAACCACTTGATGCTGTAAAAATAATTTTCTATTTATTGATATAAGCGATACATGATCCTAACTCAAGATATTCAATCTTAATCTACATATACCAATTCTTTGCTAAGTATTTAACATGTCTATGCTAAAATTTTGGGATGTTTAAAATACTCGCTCATGATGGTTTGTTTTTCTAATCTTGATTTGACCTTCACTTATGGGTTAGACATTTCTAGTGCTGGGTTGGTATCTTTATAAAAATCCCACTAAAGGTAATTTATTGGCCAAAATATTCAAATGATTATTTTATATGATATATAAATGTGTGTTTAATTATTATCCAAGATATTCAAATGATTTGTACATACACATAAAATATAGGATATTTGGTAGAAATTATATAATACTTCTTTTTTTTCTTTTATGGTGAGAAGTTAATAATACTTCTAAACGTTAAAGAGATCAAATATGGTGAAGATAAGTATGGAAATGAGAGTGATGTTAAAAATTCCATGTATTCCTAATATAAATACATGAACGAAAAAAAAATGAGAAAGAAAACACTTAAAACAGAGAACAGCAAAGAAATTTTCAAAAAAAAAAACAGCAAAGAAAAATAGATAATGATCAAAATTAAGTGGAAGTTACAAATGACCACCGGAAAAAAATATTATAAAAAAAGATTTCCGAAACTCACGGAAAAGCCTGCAAGGCTGACGTGGACAGGGTCTATTTTTAAAACCCCTTTAATATATTTTAAGATGTGCATAAAATTCAATATGGACATTTTCAGACGGGTAGCTTTTGTACCAACTGAAAAATACGAGTACGAACTGGGAGCAAAATCGGGATGGTAGACTGATTATATAAAGACCAGTGTGGGGATGGTACAGGAAAACAGATGATTGGCACCAAAATTTTGAAGCCTCAATGCCTCGCCTACAGATTACAATGGTCAGAAAGATGTAAAATGGGCAAGGAATCAAATTATTGCCCAGAGCCTTCTTATACGCCCCAGAAGACTCTCACTCTGGATCTCTGACATAAATGGCAGCACTGCAAAATGCTGAGCCGCCGCCACCACCTTCCACATTTCAGAAGGGGGATAGAATTAGGCGGGGAGCTTCACCTGTAGGATGTCAAGCAACCCGCTTTTCGCCAAGGAGTATATCTTTCCAAGCTTCGTAAAACACCCAAGTGATGCCAGAGTTGGGCATGACTTTCAAACAACTTGCACCCCAGCCTCTGTATAGTCCCAATAGCCCCTCCTCCCGGAGTACTTCCGAGAGCGCTGCTGCCATGTGCGGTGGGCATTTACCGTTCAAAGCTCCCACCATCAGCCGTTTCCTGGCGACCTCCAATGGAAAGCTGATGGTGCTAGCCGTCAACCCTGAAAAGGATCGCAAAAATTGCACATCTTAATCCAAACAGCCAGCCAAGGAGAAGACACATGCATATTGCTACAAACACAATTTCAATCCGACATTTATTTATATCAGTATACTATGGCAAATATGTGGCAAAGAGGCTGTTCCCCACCTGCAAGAGCTCCAATGGCGAGCATCTCTGGACGACTTAACGACTTTTTATTCTTTGACTTGCAATATGATCTCTTCACGGTATCGTACATGAAATAGTAGCATGTACTGTACGGAAGCATGCCAATCAGTGTAGGTTTAAGGCCAGCATAAAAGGCACCAATGCCTCCATCCTTGTAAATTCTACCAATTGCTACGGTTAAGCTAGGGTATAAGTCAGGGCTTACAGTCAGTCGATCCTGTAAGGGAAATGCAACAGAAACTGTCAGGAACAATAGACAGTAGTAGGTTGAGGCGCTTAGCTTGGTTTATTAAATTTAAGAACAAGCTACTGTACATCAGCATATAAATTATTTAAGGTAGGCAGCTTCAAATATCAAAACGTAGTAACAACATAGAGCAAGAACATGAAGTAAAATATAACACAAACAGGTAATTTTGGTTGCTTCAGGTCAAAGTATGATGTTACTATATACGTTTAGTAGGGTTTAGATTCGAACAAGATAATATGTTCAAAATACCTTCAAAACCTCAAGAGGATGGCATACAAGAGTGCCAGCAATGCCAGCAACAGCACCAGCGGCAGCAACAGGGTGAATGAAGTTAAGAGAAAAGTTCAAACTGATGGGACCGATTTTCACTCTTGGACATTCAGACTGTTTACTTTTCTCTTGTGCTGAAGTTATTGTCCGCTTGACACACTCAAATGTACCAAGCTCGATTGCCTGTGTGGGGACAATACGAAGCATATTGATAGCATTGCCAGCCCACAGCCCTTGCCAGCCTTGTTGTTCAACAACTTCAATGAAACTTCCAGGAATGTTTTTAGATCCAACACCGACAACCATCCTTGTTCTGCAAAGAATAAAAATAGCTGGTGGCTCAGCTCAGCGAGTAATCTCAATCTTTTAACTAATGACTTTTAAAATAGAAGATAATGATAATCATCAATGAAGATGCTCTTTGTTTCTATTCAATCTCCAACTTGAAAGGGAATGGTGACACTTATTGGTAATAAAGGGGAAACAGTTCCGAAGTTCAACCCTTAGGTACATATGCACTTCAGCTGAGCTTCTATTCAACTCTTAGCTAAAGCAAGAATAATACCTCAGAACCTCAAAGGTCTAGACAGAGACTTTACTCAAGTAATCGCCCCACATTCTAGGCCTTAATAAAATGACCAGATCTCAGCCTTTTCTTATGCATGGAAAGTGTTGTCAATGTGCTCTCCTGACAGAATAGGTTGACACATTTCCCAAAAAGGGAAGATACAGAAGGAAAAGGAATGAAGAGATTAAAACAAACTGCAGCAGAGAAAATGACAGCTTCTGCATTAGCATTATCCTCAAGTATCCAACCCAACTATCTCCATTTTTATCCAATCATTAGAAATTTCACGAGGTAACAGAAAGCAACGAAGTAGAGTTTGGGAGATATATGCAGAGTGAGGAAAAGAGCTACCAAGAGACCATCAACCCCGTAGCATAGATCTTGATATCTAGTATTCCTACAGTAGGGTATTCCCCAAGTAAGTTAAATGAAATTATATGCATCATAACAATTCTAAAGCAATGAAACCTTGGAAATCAACCTAGGTTGTATCATGTATGTAAGATAAACGAACCAATAGACAGCATGACTGTCTAGAGAACAACCTCCTTCAAAGACGCCCGGTAGTTGTTGCCTATCCGAATAATGCTGACACATGCATACAGTCGTACAGAACAGAAGAGTGAAGAAAAAACCTGATGGTCTCCAAAGGAGCAAGTACAGCTTTAGACATAGCCCCGGCTAATGCACCACTAAGGAACTCCCCAACTCCTCTCGTCTTCGTGATATCCTAAAATGAAATTAAAAAGAAGAGGACCCAGCTATTAAGATACGCAGCAGAATATGAATTGAACCCCAGCTCCCAGACCCCAGTGCAGCAAGGCTGAAGCCTATAAACTCCTGGGAGAGTGGGAACAAGAAAAGGTAAAGAATCTACTTTAGCATCAAAACCAAAAGTTTGAGCAAGTTCAATCCCGATCCCTCTAAGTTCTCTTCATAACATTAATAAACAATTTCAGACTGTTTAGTGCCCAGAATCTGGCAAGATACTCCACCAATTTGTTCCTTTTTAAATAAACTTTGACAGAGAGAATCCGAGAGAAAGTGATCAACAAACCAAAAACATCTCGCCATATCAATAGCCACGGAATCAGTAATCTGTGTAAGTGAAGAAAGAAGCTCACTCACTCGGATTGCAAGGCCGATGTTGGGGAGCCGAACGGGGGACTCGAAACGAGGAAGCGAAAGAGACGAAGGAGGCGGAGGAGAGGGAGAAGGAAGTGCTGAAAGGGTGTCGTCGAATTTCTCAACAAGCTCAATATCCTTGGGGAGCAACACGGTCATGGCGCCAACGTCTCCGAAGACGACGCCTTCTCCCAAGACTGCTGTCCCATTTTTGGTCGCCGCCGCCGCCATCTTCGTCTTCGCCATCTGCTGCGATTGCAATTCAAAATCCATCACTACTCTGGCCAAACAAACTCCTGTCTCTTTCCTCAGGAAAAAACAGAGAACAAACAACAAATTTTTGTATGGAAAACGATCTCGAGCTTCTTTTTTTTGGCGTCCTGTTTATGATCTGAGAAAAAATAAACAGAAGAAGAAGCGGAAGGAGAGATGAGGATGCCTGAGCAGTAGTAGAAGTGGCGCGAGGGTGACAGTGCGACGGCGACTCCCGGGACATTGATGGTCGGAGTTCGGGGGAGCGGGGACGAACTGACGACGGACGGAAATTCGCAAAATCCAGAAAAATATATTTTGCTTTCGCTGTTGTTGTTGTTTTTTCAACTTTTTATTATCCCTCTCCTGCTCCTCCTTCTTCTCTGTCGGACATTTATTATTATTATTATTATTATTATTATTATTATTATTATTATTATTATTATTATTTTCCGCTCCGTTTCCTTTTCGCGGATGCTTTCTGAGTTCTGTTTGTTCGGGGGGTTTATTAGGGTTTTGGAGTCGTGAGGTGACGAAATTTTGAACCTGGACGGGAATGGAAATGTGGACCCGCACGCCGCTCTGATTCTTGAACACCGTTAATTTGGTATAAAAAAAATGAATCGCTATTTGCCGCCCGCAGTTTTACTATTTGCCGCCCGTAGTTAGAAAAAATAGACGATTTTGCCCCTAACCCTATCCCACCCTCAACCCATCTGCCCCCCTTCAACCCTCCCTCCTCCTGCCTCCCTCCCGTCGCCGACGACCCTCCTCCTGCAGGCCCTCCCGCCGCCGCCGACTCCTCCCTCCTGCCAACCTCCTGCCGCCGACTCCTCCCTCCGCCGCTGCCGACTTCCTCGCTCGCTCTCGCCGCCGCCAACCTCCCAAGCTCGGCGGAGGGAATTTTTTTTTATTTTTTTCAGTCGCCGTCCGACTGGCCGGAGCGGACGCGGTCCGACTGGCCGGAGCGGACGCGGTCCGACTGGCCGGAGCGGACCCCGTCCGCCCGGTTTGATCGGACCCCGTCCGCCCGGTCTGGTCGGACCTCGTCCATTCGGTCTGGTCGGACCCCGTCCGCCCGGTCTGGTCGGACCGATCTGATTGGGTTTATGATTCGGTTTGAATGGTTCGGTTTAAATAAATATTTATTAGATTTATTTTAAATACAATTGTTAGTATCTTAATTAGTTTAATATTGATAGTTGAATAATTAGTATATAATTGTTAATTTGACCACAGTTGGTTAAGGGAATTAGGGTTTGACTTAATTAGGGTTTGACCCGAATTAGGGTTTGACTAAATTATATATTATTTGACCACAGTTGGTTGAGGGAATTAGGGTTTGACTTAATTAGGGTTTGACCCGAATTAGGGTTTGATCTGAATTAAGGTTTGATTTAATTAGGGTTTGGCCCGAATTAAGGTTTGATATAATTAGGGTTTGACTTAATTAGGGTTTGACCCGAATTAGGGTTTGACTAAATTATATATTATTTGACCACAGTTGGTTGAGGGAATTAGGGTTTGACTTAATTAGGGTTTGACCCGAATTAGGGTTTGATCTGAATTAAGGTTTGATTTAATTAGGGTTTGGCCCGAATTAAGGTTTGATATAATTAGGGTTTGACTTAATTAGGGTTTGACCCGAATTAGGGTTTGACTAAATTATATATTATTTTGACCATAGTTGTTTGAGGGAATTAGGGTTTGACTTAATTAGGGTTTGATTCGAATTAGGGTTTGACTTAATTAGGGTTTGACCACAGTTGAAATAATCTCACCCAAGATGACGGATAACAACAATAAGAATCAACTCGACTCAATTGGACCAATAATGACAATAAAGAAGGAAAGCATCTCATCCACCTCCTATACCTTATACTCCTCTGAAACCCTAAACCCTCATTCCCCTTGAATAGCTACCTTCAACCTCGATCCATCCAATCCTACTAGGAAATTATTTTAGAGGCAAAATCATCTCTTCCTCCACTAACAATAATATTTCGTCTCGTGGAAATATATGTGATAGGCTCAAGAAACTCCTAGTTACCACCCCCAGAGCCCTAAAAACACCTCGATGAAAGTTTTGGCACTATTCATCTCTTTTTGTCGGGAATGTCCAATTGATAAACAATCGATTCCAACACATTTGTATCCACATTTTAAGAGATCGATGAAAGTTTTAATATTTTTTCATGTCGGTGACTCTAGTAATTGGTAAAAGATGTTTTTGTCCGACCTTCCCTGAGCCGCAAAGAGTCCTCTTCGTGCCTCGATTCCTTGGAAGTTTTATAAAACATAATTTAGGTACGATGATCTTATTAAATATGAAATAAATACAATTAAAAAGGTTTAATCAATATTTATAAATATTTTATAACTATTCTACATAATTAAAATGAATTATTCATAAGTTTATACAATATTTATGATAATTTATGATTAAATATCCATTCTCTTATACACTACTTCAGATCATTTGTAATTATTTAACATACTATAATTATTTAATTGCTATTATACTGAATTTATTTATTTTAGCTCTATTTACATAATTATAAAATAAGTATGAATTAGTTTGTACAATATTTTTTATAATTTAATTTTTTTTCTTATGAATAAATTTTAGTTTTTCTAATTCATAAATATAATTAATAAACATACATATAATTATTAGCATGATATAATATTAAAAAAATAGAAGATTGAGTTAAATAATTAATATCATTTAGCGACGAATTTTGTGACGGTTTTGAAACCGTCGCTAATGCACGGTCCGCTCGCCGGCGTCGGACGGGGTCCTCCCGCCGGCGTCGGACGGGGTCCTCCCGCCGGCGTCGGACGGGGTCCTCCCGCCGGCGTCGGACGGGGTCCTCCCGCCGGCGTCGGACGGGGTCCTCCCGCCGGCTGTGGTGATTTGGTTCTGGCGGTGGTGGCGATGTCGGCGATTTGGCGGCGGTGGTGGATTGGCGCCGGCGACAGTAGTGGTGGAATGGGGTTTGTTTTATAAAAAATGAACAAAGGGTAAAAATGTCATTTTAGTTTAATTTACGGGCGGCAAATAGTAAAGAGACGGACGGCAAATAGTAACCCTCTAAAAAATGATTGCCATAATGCCAAATGCATTAATGTATTAGAGATCATACTAGAAATTCAAAGGTAAAAGTCCTTGTGTTGCACTCTTAAGAAGAAAGAAATTATTAAATTCCAAATGTATTGTGTGAATGTTTCTATTTCAATTGTGTTATATGAGTATTATTGACCAAAAAATTTGTTGTATTATCAAGTGCAAAGAAGATACAAGTATATGGGTTGGATCAGGACACCAACGATGAGTATTGACTCGTGTATAATATTTTTCATTTTTTCCCCCAATGGAAGTGGCCTTGCCTTCCAAACCACCTCCGTCGACAAAAAAAACCCGCAGTGCAAATGTTTCTATGTCCCCAACCAAAATTTATAAACGACTCTAATAAATGAAGGCATGAGGCTACCACGAGATAACTTCAACGCAAGGCTCCATTTTCCTTCATCCTCGACACTTCTGCGAGCTGCACAAACGCTTCAGTTCCTCCCCTCGTTGCAAATCTACACACCGCTCCGATTCTCAATTTTATCTACCACTCTCACATTCATTCTTCTCAATTGAGATTCCTTCTCTCTCTTACTTACTAATGGCATTAGTTACCCCTTATTAATCCCCATGTGGCCACTCATTCCTTTCTTTTTTCATGTTTGTTAACATTTTTCAACCACATAAGTTTAATTGGCATTGAGAAGTATCGAATTGGCTAGTATCTCGAAGGCAGGATCATGGCAACGATAATTTTTTCTATTGTTAAGTGGAGTGTATTTGTTAAAATAAAATATCATTAAAAAAAGTTCAAATTTGAAATTAGGGTAAAATTAGATCCACAATTAAACAACAACCCTCAAATCCCCACAAAAAAAAAAAAGGTTTAATTCACCCGTGTAGCCATAACTTTCACGATTTTGACAGATATAGCCACTTTTTGAATAATACACAGATGTAGCCATACTTTTTAAAGTTCGTTGACTAATCTAGCCATTTCCGTTAAAAGATTTGACGGAGTTAACGTCTCCGTCAGTTAAGTGTCCGTTTTGCTGATCTGTCCGCCAAATGAATGACACGTCATCGCCAACTGGGTGGACTAAGCCACGTGGACGCCACATCGGATAAAAAAAATTGAACACTCTCTCTCTCTTGGCCTCGCCGTCGTTTTCATTCCCTTCCTCTCTTGTTTTCTAGGGTTCGCACAACAGAGACTCCTCTCTAATTTCAATCCCTTCTTCCTCTCTATTTGCAATCCCTTCCATCGATACCTCCTCTCCACCCCAACTCCTCTCCCGATTCCATTTTCGCTCCATACACCAACATAATCACCGAGACAGTTTCGCCCAGCCGTTCCTTCATCTCCGAATCCCAGCCGTTCCTCCGCCGATTTAGGGTTCCTCCGCCGATGTTTCTTAGCCGCCGCCAGCCGAACCGTCGAAGTCCGTACCGCCGACGAAAGGGCGACCCTCCGATGCTACTCCCCGGCGGAATGCATGGCTTCCCTTTGTCGGCGATCGCGAACGATTGGGAAGAGTCGAGACGATTGGGAAGCATCTCTTCCTACCATTTTCAGATCAAACCCTCCAGAAAACATAGTCCCCTGTTCTGACCCTTTCTCGTTTCCATATTCACAAACCTAATCTCGACGACAATGTCGAACACCTGATTTCGTCAAAGAAAACCCATAATCAAAACCCCAAATTAACAATCATGTTTTCGTTGCCCATCCTCCCTATCTCCCCCTTTCCTGCAACAAAAATCCCAAAACCCATAAATCCCCAACTCTCCAGATCGACCTTCCTTCCTCGATCTGTGAGTCCGAGACAGAGGAGACGGCGAGAAAGCCAAGAAGCACCAACGATATCGTCGTTCGCAGTGGTGCTACCCAGATCCATTCAGCATCGTCGGAAGCCGCCACGCCGCACCAGAGCAGAGACAAATCCACAAATCAAAATATGTCATGGCTGAGACGAGAAGAGGAGGGAAGAGGATGAGCGGTTGTCTTCGCCTCCATGGAGATGATGCATGGCTACCTTTGTCGAAACCGGAACAGAGGTAAGGAAGTGAATCGGGGAGACGAGCTGGGCAAATTGAGGGGTGAATCGACGGAACCCTAAAACGAAAAAGGGGAAAGTGATCTGAATCCCCTTTTCGTCTCCAACTATGTCGTTTTACTTTTTAATAAAAAAAAAAATTTACACGTGGCAAAGACGAAATCCAAAACGCGCCACATCAGCCGCAACCGTTAGTCCAGTCAGCTAGTTAAGTGGACCGTCAAAAAATAGGACGGAAATGGCTACATCTGTGTATTATTCAAAAAGTGGCTATATCTGTCAAAACCGTGAAAGTTATGGCTACACGGGTGAATTAAACCAAAAAAAAAACAACAACCCTCAAACATCAAACTCACAAAATGTTTTTGACGTGTCAAAATGAAAGAAAGAGAAGAAAGAAACCGAAATGGCCAAAAAGGCAAAATCATCAATCAGATTGAATCGTTCTGAATCGTGATTCGTCCGTCCGCTACCTCTGACTTTTCGTCCTCGCGTTATCAATTGAAAGACAAAACCCAGCTCCGTTCTACATCCTCTCGCCGTCGCCATAACCGCATCTCAACAGCCATTCACCTCCCTCGGTCGCGATCACGGGCCAGCTGCCCGTCTCTCGAATTTTGACCCTCGCCGCCACCACCGGCTACCCCCCTAGGCGTTCCTCCGCGTAAATACCGCCGGTCGAGCAACCGTTCCGTCCATCCCGCTTCCCTCCATCACAAGCCAGAACTTGAGTCTGATCCTCCCATCTAGTAAGGTAAATTTCGCTTTGAGTTTCCCAGTTCTCTGCTGAGATTGGAATTGGGACGACGGCGGTTGTCTTCATTTTAGGCGATAGCCCAATTTTTCGCGCGTTTGAATGGTGGGTTCGTTACATTGAAATCGATTGATTGAACAAAAAATCGGAAGAACTTGTATCTTATGGTTGAAAACTCTAATGGGAATGGGGAGGTAAAAGTTGGGTGCTGAATACTGGCTGCGTGTTTGAAAAGAAAACTTGATTTGTTTTGTTTAAATGCTCTCCTTCGTTTCGACGAGTGAATGGGGGAGCAGATAATTTTCATTTTAATGTTTATAGATGGGTCTTATGTTTCCATTTTGATGTTTCAATGGCAATCGCTCTCTAATTTAATGTTAGCTAGTTAATCACTGAAGCTGATTGAACTGCAGGGTGCACCCTATATCTGCCAGCAGGAGGGTATAATTTGCTTGAGCTGATTTCAAGGTTATATCACTTGCGAGAGATGGACAATGACAATGATTTCACCTTCTGCAAGGCAAGTGAAATGTTCTATGTAGAATCGTCTCATTCACTTAATTGCATAGATGGTCGATAGTATTGAGTTCTATGCATCGTTGGGGTGGGAATCTTTCCTTGTTTTGGGACTTAGGATTGTGTTTTTTCTTTAAAAAATCAGGTAGCTTCATCTGCTGATGGAGATGATGCCAAGGCAAAGACTCTGGCGTCAGAGATTGGCGGAATAACAATTGAAGATGACAAGTCGACAAGAATGAGTGACGATAAGGGTAGTAGTGTTGTCTGGAAAGATGGTGTCTCTTCTAAGGAGGAGAAAACTGCTGGAACATTGTCTTTTACTGTCGTTGATAAATCAACACCACAACAGTCTAGTGATTTATCGCCACAGGTAGCATCTGGAAATGGTGACACTTCTGCTAAGAGTACGCAAAGACGGACTCCTGCTAGGAAGCCTGCAGTCCGAGCCAAGGTCCCTTTTGAAATAGGGCATAGCCAAATGGATTGGCTTAACCTAACTCGAACTCACCCCGATCTTGCAGGTATGAGGATTGATTTGTTGTTGGATCATTGTTATTTTGATGATTGATGATATGTTACAAATGCATGCAATCAAAATAGTATGTGTTTATGTCTCTTTGAGAGTTTGAGTCTTGTGTTGCTAGGATTAAACGGACAATCAAACAAGAGATTGATTTCCATAGATGAAGTTAAACAACACCGGGCAGAAGGTTCAATGTGGACTGTGCTGAAAGGTCGTGTGTACAATTTGTCCCCATACATGAAGTTTCATCCGGGAGGTAAGCAGATGGAGATTTCATATTAAAATATCTACCGCAATCTTTTATTTTCCTCACTGTTTTCCCTTTTCTTGTTTGAATTCGTAGTTTGCACTCTTAAGCTCCATTCTTATATCTATCAACTCAATTGCAGGTGTTGATATGTTGATGAAGGCAGTTGGCAAGGACTGTACATCACTATTCAGTATCCTTTTCCAGTTTATACTCATTTTAGTTTCATTAATTTGTCCAAAATTACAGATGAAAGAGAGTTGGTTTTGCATATTCAATTTGCAATCCTTATTGCTTCATTACCAGACAAATACCACGCTTGGGTGAACGCAGAATTCTTGATGGAGAAATGTCTGGTTGGGATTTTAGATGACAGTAAGTGAAGATCAAATTGTTCCATTTGTTTCGACTTCTAGCTTTTCTTCTCATTTACTTCACCCCATTATACGTTGTATGCATGAAATAAGCTTAATTGTTGTAACTTAGCTTCCAAATATGCTCCAGAAGATGCAAAATGTTGTGACAGAGAGTTGGATTAGCATCTCTTTCTGTAGTACCTTTATCATCTCAAGTCTCAACATTGCTGAAGAATGGAGCAGAGAATCTTACATATGTTGTTCATAGGCTATCAGGCCTCAGCGATACATTGTCGCTCTGCTTAGATTGCTTTTCGTGTCAATCCTCTTTCTGATTTTCCTGGTATCTCTAGTAACGTACTAATGTTCAAGATTTCTTGGCAATATTAGTTGAATTGCCGTGATATGTACAAACTTACTAAAGGTCATCTGTGGTTGCTTGATAGATTTTTATCGATGGATTTTGAACTCATCTAGGTTGTAGATTTTCTGTAATGATTGAGTTCAAAATGTACTATGAATGGATTGTTTCAAATTACACTCATGTAAAAACTCTCAATTACACTCATAAAGACAACCTTATATTATGTGAAATATTAAAATATATATTCAATGTCTTTTTAGGATGCGTTCGAGGGATTTTCGTTTAATTATATGAATCGTACACTATCCACCACAAAAAACCATAAATCAAATAATTAGTTGACAACATGTGGTTTTTGGCTTATTAAAGATAAAAAGGGTATGGCAAGACTTATAAGTTACATACAATACATTGGTATAGAGAGACAAAAACAGCTACAAGAGCATTGGTAGAACTAAGATTCTACCGATAAGACTATAACGTGCGACTCGTCATTTTTCTTCAAGCTCTATTACCCATCATCATATTTTTTAACTTTTCCTACTTCTTTAAGATGGGCGAGCGAATCATTACTTGCTCTCCTCTTCTTTCATGCTTGAAAATTAATAATTTGACTACGTTGTATCGATTTGAAAAAATAAAATTATGTTTATTTACCTGTACCTTTTTAGTTGGCGAAAAATCGATGTTTGTGGTCGCACCAAATATTTGATAAATCTTTCATATTCTCATAAAAATGTTTACCTTTGTCATTGTGCCATTTGGTAAAGGTTCTATATAATTTTCCTGACCGGTTGTGGGTTGTATCATGTATGGTATGGTTGGTTTTATGCTTTATATTTCTCCTTGGAGACATGAGGCTACGACGCCGTTTGAATCTGTATGGCGAGTAACCACCACTGACACGGCAACCGCGCCTCTTTTCTGCTTCCCTCCATCCCTTTGGCGCTCTCAATTAGGTTTGATTTACTCCGACCTTTATCATTTTAAACTCGGCTGCGGCTCACTTCATCGCTCTTTTCTCCGGCGCTCTCACCAACCGGGCGCTCAATCCAGCGCCGGCCCGTTCTTATCTCCGAGATCCCCTGATACCCCTAGTTATCTTTGCTTCTCCCAAGTGTATTGCTACTAGTCATCGGATAGTCCAAAACCCTAGTCGTCGATTATTTCTTCAGTTCCTTTTTCGACTGAACCGAAGAACAATGTCCAAGACGTTCCCCTCCCGGAGAGAGCTCCTTGACAGATGGAGAGGCATCGAGGAAGAGGAGGAACAGGCTAGCGACGGAGATCCTTCGATTCTCCACCGTCTTCACCGCCAGAAAGAAGAATGGTCTCTTCCACTCCACTCTCCTTTTGCTTTTTTTTTCTTGTTGGGCATTTCTTTCTCGGGTGACGTTTTGTTTTTGAACTATGATGGGGATAACTGTGACAGTCAATTTCAAGTACATTTTCATTTTCCGACTTTCTTGAATTTGTCTCTCAATTCGGAATTACTGCAGTGGCAGCTCTCAATGTCACCAATTGCTCCATCTTACCATTCCTCCATTTGAAATGGGTTTCCAGCTAGAAGTCGCTTTGTCTTCTTAATGTTTGTTGTTTTGTGTTAATTGGGTCACAGGTTCAAGAATGCCTTCACTTTCTTAATTGAGTTGCCCAAGGAAAGCCATATATGGTGCGGATTTTGGGACTTGATGGGGCCTCTTCTAGAGACATTTTACAATTACTTCAAAGATGAGCGCCAGGATTCTCCTCTTAAGTTGCTGTGGAAGAGGATCTCTGACGAAATGCAGCAATGCATCCAGTGCATATCCCAGCACCATCAAGCTCAAGAGACGTACAGTATGGAATATGAGTCAAGTTCCATAGGCCCCCTTCTCGATGTCCTACGGAGTCTAGATGAGGAGAGGTTGACTCTGCATTTAAGACAGATAAATTCAAGATTGAAGAAACAAGAGTATGATCCTGGACGGGATAATGCTGAAGTTGTTAGTCTCATGTATGAGGTAAAGATTACTATTTTTCAAATAATTTTGTAAAAGTCTCTCGTGTTAGTCAGTGAACGTGGAAGTCAGATGACTGGCTTATTTCCTCCCCGTTCCCCCTTTTTATATCGATGTTGTCTGATCTTCAATGTGTTTCCTTGTAACCCGGGCCTGTGTGCTTCAGGTCTTGATGTTTCCAGTCCTTCTGGATGATCAGTCCTTATTTACGGAGTTTGAGCTGTTTATTGAATCAGTTGACAACATGCATGAACTTGCTTTGGCTGGACATCAGCAGTTCCCGGTATTATTTTAGTCCTGGTTTGTGCATGGTTTATGTCTTTAACTTGTATTTATTCTGCAAATACCTCCTTTTCAACCCTATTTCCACCTAAATTATTTCTTCTCTAATCCACTGCGCATGATCTGGCAGGGTGTTTATGCATTGCTTTTTTGTAACAGAAGAGTGCGAACTGTTGGTAGACGCTTGGCACGATCGATGGAGAAACTGAAGTAATGTTCTCTTCTTCTTATATCTATCACTAAATTTTTGTTGCATATCAGAATGGTTGAATGCCATCTTTGAAGCGGTCTATAGTTATTGGTTGCCTGTGAACTTCTGTTTGCCTTTGCCTGCCTGATCTGAGCCCAAGGTTTGGTAGGTCTATGGTAATTGTTTCCCTGTGAACTTCTGTTTGCCTTTGCCAGCCTGATCTGAGCCCAAGATTTGGTATGTTACTCAGGAGGAAGTTTGGTTCCCTGTCAACTGCCATTGTACATTGAGACTTAGAGTCTGCTGCAACATTAGCTAAATTAATTAGGTGATGAAATGGAATATTAATTTACTTTCTGAAACCCAGTCAGCTGGACTGAATTTCCTGATATCTATACTTCTGCCTCATAATTAGATATTGGATGACGCTACCTGTCTCAAGAAGTAAAATGATATTGTTTTTTGAAACAGAGATTGCTGATGTTTAGCATCTACGACAATATATTTGGTCTGTTGCTGTTGTGAATACTTTCTGGCATGTCTTGAAATATATTCATGGTCTATCATCGTCAAGTTCCACAAATATTTGTTCAAAACCATCATACAAATGGTAGATTCATAGTGAAACGATCAAATTACTCAGTTATGAATTATCCATCTTTCGGTTCTCATATGAAACATATTTTCATTTTCACCGACTTTAAACTTTATTGTTTCTATAATATCAATCTACTTATTTACGACCTACCCATTCAAATTCCCACTTACTAGGCACAACCCATGTATTTTGTTTTGTTAAAAGGTGGGTTGACTAGAAGCGATGTTTCCATCTGTTGTGTAGCTCTTCTATTCATCAATGAATGACCCTCTCCTGCAAGGGCATTCATTGGTGTCGTGTGGGAAATTTTTGCTCGCTTTATGCAGACGTGATCTAGGCATGTTATCTCCTACTTCCACTCAGGCATCAGGGCTTGTATCCTATATTTGTGTAGGAGTTCAACAGATTTGGAACCGTTGCAGCCTTTGCTTAACAAATTCATTGGGTTCTTGGAGTCTGAAGTACTACCATCAGCTTCTAGGACCTCAAGACCAAGAGCGCAGCTTGATCGCCTGTCCATATGGTTGGGAATTACATCATTGTAAGTGATGCCAAGATCTTAGTTTTTAATGTCCCTCCCACCCTCCCTCGCTTCCATTTTACTTCCATACCTTGGCATTCTTGTTGAATATACATTCTGTTTTCTGAAGGCTTGAGTTCTTGGAACCTCCAGCCTTTGAAGAGGGGGTAATGGAGCGGTATCCCATCTTCTTTGATGTAGTGCTCAACCATATCAGTGGTGATTCTGCTGATTTTTCTCATGCGGTTAACTGTTTAAAAGAATTGTTCAAGATGCTAGGTGAGTACACTTCTTCAAAGTCTTTACATCTTCAACCTATTAGGTTCGGTTGGAGTGACATCTTCTATTCATATTTGTGGCATTTAAGGCTGTAAGCTTTGGCTGAGATCTACATTGTCTCCAAGTGTGCTGCGGAACACATTATTGGGCCAGTGTTTCCATACCCGAAATGAGAAGATGCATAAAGATATTTTTGATCTTTTCCCACCTTTTCTGCAGGCATGTCATCAATCTCTTGACCTTCTATTTAGGTTGATTTCCTTCATTCCCTTGTATTCTACCCAAGGCATTTTTAATAACTTGACATTGTTAATATTGCCAAATCTGACATTCATAAGGACATATCTTCAATTTTGATCTAGTCGCTTGAGGCGTTGCAAGATGGAGAACATGAAAAGCAACGCAGACATTTTCTCTTTTTTCTCCTTCATCAAGTTTCGGTGAGCAACAACTTCAACATGTTTGCAAGGAAAATGGCATGCAAGGTATTTTCTCTCGTTTTTGTTTTTCGTGAGAGACATAATTACTCTTTGCATGACAATGAGCTAATTTTGCCTTATGACTTATGCTATTTACTGTAAGATTGCTTTTGCAGATAGCGCTTCTTATCATACACAGAGGTTACACAATGAACCCGCCATGTCCTCCTTTTGAATGTGCTCATATGTGGTATGTAGTATTCAACCCCTTAGACTGAGATCGTCAGGTTATAAATCATTGATTGGCTTCTCCTGTGCTCACTGAAAATCGATGACTATGTACAGGGGTCCTTCACTTGTGTCTTGTTTGAAGGATTCTTCTCTTCATAGTTCCCTTCGACAGCCTGCATTTGACCTTGTTGAAATCATTATAGTATCTGATGCTGCGGCACTGCAAGCGTCGCTGGTGAAAGACTATGTGAAACTTGGTGTGGATAGGGGGAAATGTGACATTATGAATGATGAAGACTACGAGGATGGGCTACCTGTCAATTTGAGTCTTGAAGAAAAGGACAAAAGTTGTTGGAGTGGGTTCAGTGCACAGAATAAAATTACATGCGAGGAGTGTAGAGGGTGGATGTGTGTTCCCATGTTGTGGGTTGATGTCCTAGTTGATATGGATCCGTCAATTTTTCCAGTGTCATTTTCCAAGGCTGTTTTCTGGGCCCGTTCTCATTTAATTTTGGTGGAACCTGAGAGTAGCGCACAAATGGCACTTCCAATTAAAACTTGGTTACAGTCTTCAGTCACAGAAATCTCTGCTTCATTTGGGTGGAAGGTTCCAGCTGGCTCTGATGATGGTGGCGAAGGGAAAGAGTCCAAAAACTCTGTCAGGGTGTCCTTGATGCATCTTCCTTTAATACGAGCATTATGCAGGTT